ACGTTCCTCTGTGTTGATCGTCAGTTACGCCGCTCTGCTGTTTCAGCAAAGCCATACGCTCCCAAACGTGTTGTGGTACTGTCTGTGCTGCTTCCGTTGGCCTACGCCTTTGTGATCAGTCCTGCCTCCGGAGCCCTGGTCAATCTGTTCGCCTGTGTTACGCCTGTGAGTGTGAGCTGTGTTCCGCTCGCAAAAAAAAAAAAAGAGTTTCGTCTCTTCGCCGGATGCATGCTCCGCGATCTTCGTTGTACATGATTGTACAGTCCGCACTCTCTGAGCGTGCGCTCACTCCGTTGTGTGTTCAAATCAGCTCAGCTGGTATGGTTCACCGGTTTCTCCGCCGATGTAGTTCCTGTGGGAGCTGCTGACAAAACGCTCATGAGTTACGTGAGTGCTCCGTTGTACTCGACGAGTTTCGGGTCCCGCGTGTTGGGTCATTCACCGCTGCAGCACTTCCTCCGGGAAGAGGTTGACTCTACGCGCTCTCCGCCTGATGGAGATGGCCATCCTCCAGCTCTGTGCTCGAGCTCGTTTACGCTGTGTGACGGAGTACGCGCGTCATGCCTCGTCGGTCTTCCGCTTGATTCCGCCAGACCACTTACGCTTATCTCCTGGTGTTGGCCTTTGTCCGCTGTCCACAGCTCCTGTGGTGCATTGATTGTCTTATTAATTGAGTGATTGAGAGATGGCTCTCGTGATACTGATACGCCCTGCAACAGGCGCCTGGCGCCACCTCCGTCCTATTCATGTTTCGTTTCTGTTTCCGCTGATAATTGTCCTTTGTCCTGCGTGGCGATTGAGTTTCGCCTGGTTTACGCTTCGTCTGGTCTGATGCGCCTTTGGCGATGTGGTTCCGCCTGGTGCAAGAGAAGGATTGTGCGCACGATTGGTGCGGTTCGGATCGTCACTGGAGAAGTTCCTGGTCTCGTGACTGGATCCAAGATCGGAGTAGAGAGAAAAAGCTCCGATGGCTCGCGGTTTGTGGTTGCGCTGATTGCCCGTCGTTGTATTGCTGCCGAGTGCTGGCGACGAAATTGAAGTCCGATCTGACCGTGGAGTGGTTTGTGTTGTAAAATGCGTAGCCGGCTACGTGACAAGCGGCGAAAGGCTGCTGTGGTGCTCGGGAGCTCGCGTCCGACTGATCAACGGAGAGCGGAGCTGGCCAGGTAAGAGTACGGAGATATATGCACGCGATCAGACCACCGTCTTTTGTGAGTTTTGTTTTTTTGGTTGTCAGTGGAGGTTAGCTGGTTTTATTTTTCAAGGTTTTGGAAGGGTTTTGTCTGAAGTATTTGTTTTGCAAGCAGTAACGGGTTTACTGGTTTTGAAGGGGAGCAGAGGTAATGAATGGTAGTTATTGAGTTCACGGAGGTTGAGAATCTTGGGTTTACTTTAGGTTGAAGAATACGTACTAGAAAGTTCAGGCACCAGCTGTTGACGTAACATTGTTTGGGTATCATTTTGTTATTATTTTGGAGGTTTTGTTGATGTATCCACCTATTCCACGGGTTCCGGGTCACTGATGAGTACCATTTTACTATGATGTCTATGTGAAGTACACCTTTGGGCTGTTACTTTTTCGTGTTACCAGGGTGTCAGGCTCTGTTTTGAAGTACATGTAGGTTGAAGGTAGTTGTAGTCTTGTCGTATGAATCATTGCGGGGAGTGTGACTGCATTAATGTTGTTATTGTTGCCGTTGTTGTCTATCGGTACGAGAGTACACTACGCCGCCCAGTGGGCCTTCCGTATCCCTGTGTCGTTCATTTCCGCCGGTTTGCATACTGTGGTTGTAAATCACTCTGGTCAGCGTACCAGAAAGACAAAGTACGTAATCATTGTGGTTGCACATGTCTCGAATGACACTGCTCTTACGCCTACTTGTGTTGTCTATCTGGCACACGCCGCCGCTGCTGATATTGCAGCCTAGGGAAACCTATTTGTGTCTCACTGAAGTGCCTGATGGCTTGTTACAGTTTGATACGCGCCGTCTTTTCCGCCAATTGTGCCCTTCTATGGTGTTTTTGGTATTCCGCTGCTAAGTTCACTTAGCCATATCGTGAATGTTACGCTGCATTATGCTGGGCTGTTGCCACCTGGCCTTGACTGACCAGGCTGCCCATCATAGTTCCATGACCCGTCAATCTCGTTGTTACACACGCTGGATTCTGTAGTGAATCTGATCATTACGTGCAACACTGCTTGGGTCCTCTTTCCGCTAACGCTTTTGGCGTTAAACCCCATTGCTGGAGAGTCAATTCTCCCACTGCCGCTCAGATCATTGATCGTGGTGTGCAGCCGTGAGCCATGCTAATAGACTATCACGTCGTGCTCGTTCAGCACAGTTCGTGTGTGTACACACTTGGTCTATGGCTTGCATTCCGCTGAGGTACAAACCGTTACGTTTCCTACCCTCATGTGTATCAGGTAAACGTTACGCCAGAAACTTTGTGCATGCGCATTCTGTGTGCACAAACGTTCGCCTGTATTTGTCTGCACTGCCCGTCCTCATGACGTTGGCGCTCGTCGGGGGCATCTCGTTTCTAGTAACCTTGTTTGGTTGCTGGTCCCCGCCGATTGGTCGAAGGTTCCCTGAACTTTGTGTATATTATGGTGTGGACTATTCCCGGTACGAGACCGTCTCTTGGATGTTGTGTATTGCGTCCAAACTACGCCCGGTCTTAGTGATTATTCTCAGTGATTCTTGTGGATCAACTGTCTCGCTGCCGTGTTCTTTATGAGCTAGGCCACCATCCATTGAGATGGAAGAAAAAAAAATTCGCTTCTTGAGTTGGTGGAAGATCTGCCTTCTCCCTACGCCAGTCCAGTCATCTGTGAGTGAGGCATTCCTACTGCTTCCTGACTTCGAGTCATTGGCTCTGCTGTTCTACCACTACGTCTCATCGTTTCATCATACCATGCTGATACCATCACTCACCTATAGTACGATGACATGAACACCAGGATTCCATTCCGTGGTCTGTTGAGCCTCACCAAGTACCTGTCTTACCCAGCCATTGCCACCAGTTGCTGGAGTATCAATGTTTCTGCTATGTCTTCGTTGTCCGTCCACCCTGTCACTATAGCCGATTCCGTTTGGTGCTGCACTTGCACTAGTACTGCTATGATGTCGTCTGTTCCCTACTACCCTGAGTGCACTGTTCCAGTCTACCATCCTGTACTGCCATCATCTTCTATAGTGTCTACCGTCAAAGTACTGTCTTCCATGTGCCTAATAGTGTCTGCTCAACTTGATTCAAGTACTGCCGTCCACCATCATCATGAGTACCGTCCGCACTGATCTCTGTCTGCTACCTGAGTGCCACCAAGTAAGACTCTATCTATCTATGTACGAACAATTGTGCCCCATACAGTTAGTTCTCTAAGTTCCGACTTTGCTCCTATCTAACTCTCGAGTGCCTACTGCCCAACTGTTACCCCTGGTCCTGTGCCTTAGGCAGTGAACAATTAGCTCCTAGCTCCATCGTGCTTTGATTAGGATTGTTTCCCAGCACACACCAAGATTTTGTGCCAATAGATTAGATCCGCTGTCCATTCGTTTTGTTCTGTTCGACATAGCTCATCAGTTATCTTATAGTTTTGTTCTGCTGCTAGTGACTGTTTAGCGTCACAATTTTTCCAAGGTTAGACCCTGCTAGAGATGCCACCTGCCAAAGAAACTAGACTTAACATTGTGTTCGTTAGTTCTAGCCGTAGGTTCTTTCCGATTTCGTTTTCCTGATTCGAAGTCTGAAGCTTTGTTCCCTCTTGCTCACACCCTCTTTGGAACTACTGCGATCTTTAGTTTCCTTTTATTTTAGCCCTTTTCATTGGCTCTTTTGTGTTATTTCTTCCCGTCACGAGGACGTGACCCTTTTCTTTGTAGCCGAGGGAGATGTCATGGCCCTGTATAGATAGTACTACTTACCAATACCACTATAGTACTGCACACATTCACTATCAGCGTGTCACCTACCTCTACCGCGGCTCTTCATCAATGTTCTCTTCCTTTTGATTAGGATAGGGTTACCTCTCCTGTCGCCGGACCTAGACTATCCATTACCATAGAACTGTCAGCTATTGTCTCTGTTGCCGGTCCGCTGTTCTGCTGTTCCGCTTTGTTGCTCCGATTCATGATTAGCATTAGCTTCAATACTTAGATACAGACATTACTCTTTGCTGAGTTTAGCACAGCTCACTACTCGTTCGCTGCTGCCTGCTCGATCCTTCCCTTCGTAGCCGCTCGCATAGATTTCAGCTAGTATAAGTTCGCTGACTTAGCCAGATATCGAGGAGTCTTGGATTAGTCTTGTTTGAGTCTTGGATTAGTCTTGTATGAGTCTTGTATTAGTCTTATTCTCTTTTATAGCTTTCTTGACTTTCTTTATAGGAGTTCCGCTACCGCTCAAGCGGACTTGTCCGCTTGAGCCGGTGTGGCCTTTGACTTTGTAGTTTCTTACTGTTCCTTTACTATTATCGGACCTGAGGGCTCCGCCACCCTGACTTCTCTCTGTGCTTTGGGTCTGAGGTACGCCTGAGTGGAACTACCAAGAGGCGCACATATACTTTGTGCAAACGGGCTTGGGATAACTAACACGTAGGGACGATCAGCCAGCCACGACAAGTCTATGCACCTGCCTTGGTGTGGACCCAACTGCACTTGACTTGTTGCAGACACTTGAGGTGCGCTGTCGACAGTTTTCTCTTCTTTGCTTCTCCAGTTCAAGGAGTCACACTATCATATTCTCTATGTACCGGCATTGGACAAGCTGCATGCTAAACTGCCAACCAGGAGGCAGAGTCTACACAGACAGACTCTCGTCTGATGATCGATTCAGTTCGTGAAACGCAGAGTTCCGAAACTGCTGCTGCTCGCTCTTCTGTATGTGTACCGTGTACTCCGCTCGTTGCCTTCGGCAAATTGAGCCCTCCACGGACGGTGGATGAACTGCACAGTCATGGTAATCATGAGGTAGTTGCATGACACTCAAGATCCAAAAAGTGAACCAGCAACAGCAATATTTCGGTGATACGAAGAGAATACAATCATGATTGTCATGCATACATTAATCCATACACAGTACATAATGATTATGTGCCGCAACCTAGCCGCAACATGATACGCGCGGTCGTCCAATAGTTCCGCCGCCTTGGCGAAACTCACTTGTTGTGCATTCACTTATTCGTATCCTCAGACTAGCTTCTAAGCAGCTCAAGTCAGCCAAAAGAAAAAGAAAATTTCAAAAGCTCCTTCCACAGGTTGCGAAATGAAGGAGAATCACCTTGCTTACCATGGCAACACAACCCTAAAGTTCAAGTCAATATTTGGCAAGGAACGAACGGATGGTTTTCTGAGATTTTTCAAATTTTTATGATCAGTGTAAATGCTTCGGCATAAAATCATTGAAAATCCTTCCCTGAGAGGGGTGGGGTAATTGGTCATGCAGTTTCTCAGACTTGGTCCTCGTACTAAGAGAGAGAGAGAGAGAGAGAGAGAGAGAGAGAGAGAGAGAGAGAGAGAGAGAGAGAGAGAGAGAGAGAGAGAGAGAGAGAGAGAGAGAGAGAGAGAGAGAGAGAGAGAGAGAGAGAGAGAGAGAGCAGACTGGCGCTGCTTTCCCAGCATAGTCCTCAAGCGATTACGCTTCGCATGCAGCAGGCTCTGCAGTGGGGGCGGGGGTGTCACCGACGGAGTTGAGCTGCTCGTCTTGCGTCTTGTACTTGTCCAGAGCCACCTTGGTCTCGTAATCACCTGGCAGGTAAGACTTGCGCCGTACATGTACACCCTTGGTACGCTCTGGTGCAGTCACAGCAGCATCTGCATCGTCCTCGGCGACAGAGCCACTGCAGCTGCGCTCATCATCGGAGTTGCTCATACTCTGTCGAATACTGCCGGTGTCTTGCAGCGACACTGGTTCGGCCGCTGGCTCCTTGATGCTTTGCTTGAACAGAAGCTTGCTCTGCAAGAACAATGATATGTACGTGTATGCGTGCACAAACATGCCGAGAAAGAGAGAGAGAGAGAGAGAGAGAGAGCAGGCCATGGTGATAATGATTAGTCCAAGAACAGCACAATCATCACACCACCTTCACAACAGCAGTTGCAGTTTCAGTCAACTGCTGCACAAACACTGGATACAGCACCATGAGTATGGGGGAGCATTCACTGCAATGAACTGATGATCCAAAAGCGTGTGCAAGCAGTAAGTGACCAGCATGTCACTCGAAACAGTATGGTGCAGTGCATCACATGTTGCAAGTACATGTACACAACTGATATACAATGTAAGCCAAGGAAAACTGATTGCATGCGCTAGTACCCGTTGCGCATGCAGTCAGTTTTTAGGGACTACCAGTGATGATCATGTCACCTACCAGTGGGTTCTGGTTGGCACGCTGGGTAGTATTTGCCCACGACTCTGCTCTCAGCTTCTTCTTGCGTTCTTGCCTGTCGTGCCGCATACAACAAAGAGGTCACAGAAGAAAATCAGGACCTGGCAATGTGAAGTTGTGGACCAAAACCCGCGCGCGTCTGCCAGAATGCAGGCAGTGGTGCCTCCGATAATACTCTGCTGACGGTGTGTACAATGTATTCCGATTACGACTATTGGTATGTATGATCATTTTCTCTTTTTCACAGTGCATGTGATTCATTTGCTAAGAAACGCTCACAATTATTTCAGGCGCGTGTCACTGTTGGGTCGACATGTGTGTCTGGCCTGCTCATCATGCAAGCATACGCCATCTTTTGCCATCTCCATACCCTGCTACTCTAGTCAGCTCCTCCAGCTTTTCAGTTGGCTATGCAATTTAACTCTGACGTTCTCCCTCTTGATAAAGTGGACAACAGCACTATTGATGTATGCGTATCAGTGCAGCATCACACCTACTTTACCGAATGTAGGCTGATGACTATTTCTGACAATAAAACTTGCAGTGTGGTGGCGGTGGTGGAGGAGGTAGTGATTGTGTTGGTGCTGATGCTGGTGGTGAGGTCCGGCCGAAGCTATTATTGCACCAGTGAACTTTGGTGAAAACTAGCACCACATGTCCAGACAGGACTACAGGCCAGACAGCAGCACGACTTACTCTGCCAAGTCTGCCTTGTACTGCGATGTGCACTCGTCAAACAGAGTCTGATTCATCTCCATGAAGATCTTCAACGCATTGTAGATGAGGCCTTGAATAGTGCGAGCATGCCATAGCGATGACCGTCTGCAGTGGATAATAGAGTGCAGAGAAGGAGCATAACATGAGAACATGCAGACGATTTGGGGGGGGGGGGGGGGGCAAAGAATTTTGACTAAAGACGCTGAAAATAATGGCATGCTAGCATGCAATGCACCAATCATGCGCATGCACGCACACATACGCACACACATGCACGCACACATACGCACACACATGCTTGACAGCTGTGCTAGCCAGCGCTCACCCCTTCTGACGATTCTTGGAGTTTCGATAGAGATCACCAAACATGATCGGCAGGATCACAGAGCAGTTTCCGTGGATCAGGCTGACAATGTACTCGTTATTCCAGAAATACAGAGCACGCTCAGCAACCTACATAGCATACAGAGGAGGTACACAACTACACATGTTAACACAAGGACAGGGTACAAGTGTTGTGTCGGGATCGGCAGCCGATGGCTTCCCCTGACAACAGATAACACATGCTGGGAGAACGCGTTCCCCTCATTCGCGCGGGAGCTGTACTGTCCGCTACAACGCAAGGCATCCAGATGTACGCTACTCATAAGATTCTTCCTTTGTGTATATTGTGCGCATTTCCTACTCATATCTCTCTGTTCATTCATCGGTCAAATCTAGACAGTTCTCCGCGCTGTAATTGGTTGGTTCTCCTGCCGCTGTGCTCCTTTCAACTTTTCGACTATGCATGTCTTTTATAAACTGCTGCTACCCATGTATGCAAGATAGACTCGACCTTCTCATGGATCAATCTGAACCTTGAGTGAGGACAAGTCTCTTCTCTCGAAAAATAGACACTTGGATCGTGTGAAGGCGTGCGTGTGGGGCTGAATGGATACTTGGATTGTGCCTGCATACGGGACAAAAGACAGTGCACTGTAATTGCATGGAACGCAATGTGTGTGTGTGTGTGCATGTGTGTAGCCGTAGCGTTGTCTACGAACGGACAGCCATCGAGCGGCGAAAGAGTATCAGAGCAGTGGACTAGCGCTTACCTGAAAGTGCTGACTAGACACGCACTGTGCAATGCGGTGGAACAGCGGCCGCTGGATCTTCGCAAACTCACTGGGCTCAAGAACATCCAGAATCTCTTCCACTTCGTTCAGGAACATGACTTCCTTTGGGCTGTGCATCTTGGGCCAGTACTTTAGGAGACCATTGATAACCTTCCCAGTAACAAGAATACACACACACACACACACACATGGTCATGGTAAACACTGCTATTATGGTCACGTGTCCCCTTGCGGGGCCGACAATATGGAACGATGAGCGACGGCAGTCCGCTGAGAGAGAGGTACTAGGTCAGGGACCATGTTCGAGAGAGCCATCTCTGGCAGCTATGGATCTGGCTTATCATCGGAAACGATTCCTCTCACGGCTGCCTCTTGAACTGGTCCATCACTCTCCACAACAGGGCGAACATTCCATGAGCCAATGCTCAGAGTCGTTCCAAGTCGTCGTCTTCGTGCGGTAGTTTGCTCCACTCGCGGGCTTTCACACACACACACACACACACACACACACACACACACACACACACACACACACAACACAGGTCATGCTAAATGGTTTTGGGCACATGTCATGTATGATTTGAAGGATATGAACACACAGCGGTGTTAAGGACAGGTTACTTACGACTGTTGTGAGGGTGGGGTCCTTCTCCAGGAACTGAACCACTCCATAGGCCAGCTATATAAGGGAGAGAGACAGACAGAGAGAGACAGAGACAGAGAGAGAGAGAGAGAGGCAGAGAGAGAGAGAGAGAGAGAGAGACAGAGAGAGAGAGAGAGAGAGAGAGAGAGAGAGAGAGAGAGAGAGAGAGAGAGAGAGAGAGAGAGACAGACAGAGGGAGACAGAGAGAGACAGAGACAGAGACGCATGTACACACAAGCATGCATCAAAACGATTCCAGGGGCCAGGTATTCTCCAAGTTGTGTTTAAAAGTTCTACAACACACACGCACACGCACACACACACACACACACACACACACATCTTCATGCACAGCAGGGCTCATCAGTGCAGCCACAGTCAAATGTAGTCCAGAGGAAGCCTGCATTTAGACAGGTGATATCAAACATTACAAGATTTGTTGTGATATCGAACATACATTACAAGATTTGTTGTGATATCAAACATACATTACAAGATTTGTTGTGCCCCAAGCAAGCCACTAGTTAGTAGTACGCCGGGTTGATGAAAACCGTTCTAGCGGCACAAGCCTCTTTTCCCCGGAGTTACCTGTGGGTGGTAGACGGCGAGGGATTTGACTTTGTGTAAAGGTAGAAGGACCCGTTCGAGGAACACTTTGTGCTCGGCTTTCAGTGGCAGAGCAAAGCCGTTGATGATGCTGTGCAGTGGGAAAAAAGGAGACAGAGCGAACACCGAAGACCGTTGCACTATTGGAATGTCTCAATTCTCCACAAAATCACACCCACAGTGCACTAGTACATGCACTGGCGGTGCTAGAACAAAGTCAGGCAGTAGCGAGGCCACCGAAACGGATCATAGCAACATGTAGCATTGAGTGTTAACTGCAATGCTCACCATAATACTGTGCGCACTCACCTGCCCAGAATTTCAAGAAGCTCTGCCACGCCGTTGTGCTTTTCTGTTTCATAAATAAATCTGTCAGCAAGAGAAACGGAGAAGAAGCCAGCAAAATACCAATAGAATCAGAATAGAACGTACAGAACCCAGGATTGGGAACCCAGGATTGGGAACCCAGGATTGTGTGCAAATGTTACTCTCAGTACTGTAATAAAAGTGGGCAGGGAGAAAGTTCCGGTAAGGTGACTGCCTGACCAGAGGATCACTAGGACTAGGACCATTTGCAGTGAAACGACCGAACACGAAAGGGACCAACCGCCTTTGACGGGAGGGGGCCATTGAGCGGCTGATTCAGATAGCCGTCACAGTAGTTGTGCTGTTGTAGTACATCCCTCGTCTAATTACGTATCCACATCCACACATGCACGCATATGCACGCACACACACACACACACACACACACACACACACACACACACACACACAATATTGTAGGCACAAAGAGAGAAGAACGGGCCGCAAGCAATAGCATGACAGTTACTCACCGATAAAATATATAGTTGATCTGCTTTCGGATATAAGCACGCAGGTTGAGAAACTTGCCGTAGATCCGATGTAACGTTGTTTTCAAGAAGTCGCGCTCTCGCGGATCTTCACTGTCGAACAACTCCAGAAGCTGCGCAAGATGGAGCAATGAGCAAAACAAACAAATGGAGCAAATAAAAACACACCGCATTGGCCATTTATGCAACAGTGTTGAAAGAGTATGCTGTAAGAACTTGGGCGCTAGAGCAATGACATGTAAATCGGATCTAAATTCAGACCACCACATAGAGGTGTGAGGCAATGTAACAGAAGAGACAATAATATCCAGCTCCGGTAACTAGTATTATTCAGTCAGAAAGTGCGACAACTAGGCACAAGACTGAGAGAGTACTGGGACATTCAACGATCTGTCACCTAGGTCCAACACCACGAAGGCTGTTGGCTTGCACTTTAAAGATTTGTTGGGGTTAGGTGTCAAGTCGTTGAATGTCCCAATACTCTGTCAGTTGTGTGTCTAGCTGTCACACTTTTGACTGGATAATAATTATAATATCTAATGACAGTGGTGGACAGTTACTCGTATACGAGCGTCCCTTTCCTAATTACATTTTTGAATATTGGCTCAACAGCCGAGTTTTAAATATTCAACTCCCTCAACTAATAAATGCCGATATTTGACAATGACATCCTAGCATATACCTCACCTGAAGAACGAACTTTTGGTCCAAGAACTTCTTTGCAATCGCTGCTTGGAAGTCCCCAGATTCGAGGAAGCGGAGGAAAAATTCATAAACCAACTAGAGGAAAGGAACATAGAAACGAGACGAATGACCTTCTCACTCACAATACATACAATCCGGCTCCATAAACAAAAAAGAATATGTGGAGGCATGAACACTATTATAACTTTATAAGGATAGGCAGCAGAGTTCATTGCTTGCACACGCTCTGGTCAAATGAAGTAGCGCATGGCTAAAACAGGCGTGCCTAGCTGATAATAGATCATGAATGTCACGTCGTGAACCCAACCCATCCATATATGGTTGGTATGACCAATCCAGAGATCAGTTGGAGGAAGACGGACAAGAACTTGAAGGTTGCATAAAAGGATTTGCATGATGTCTGCCGTCACATCACCAATGTACCGATAATGAACGGCAATATGGCAAAAGGCCATGTTGGAATTTCCCCTGGCGAGATGGCGTCTAGCGGCTGTGTGTGCTAATATGGCTACTCTACCACCTGTTCCTGGCTCCTTTCCACCATCTTGCATTCCAAAACAGTTCAGTTATGATGAGCCATGCAGTTTTGCATGGCATGGAAAAACAGCATGACTTTATGTGTGTATGTGTATACAGGTTAGATGTTAAAAAGACCAGCAGTGCATGCAGCACACGTCCGTACCTGAAGATGGGGCCAAGAGGGCTCCAGTGTCGGCTCATCCTCCTCCGGATCGAACTCCACACCATTGGGATTTGTGGAGGGCGGGTGGGCGCGGAAAGCATTCAATCCAAACTGTAGCCACACAGCACACAATGAAAACAACAAATGAGAGACTTCTCTTCGTCAGTGCAGCATGTACAGAAGCCAGTTGGTCGACCGACATTCACGAGCGGACAACTGAGTGCCAATATCGCGGACTAAACGAAACGTATTATTCTGTGGTAACCACCTTGGTGTCAATACACAGGCATTGAGCAAAATTCACAGAAGCATTCCAGCAATGCAGAGCGTGAAGCAATGTGCAACGCTCGAAGCAATGTGCAACGCTCGAAACGATGCAAACTTGTGGGATGCGATTCATAGTAGAAGTCACCGGAAGAGATGTCCGTTCCTGCTTTTGTTGGTGCACAGCTCAGAGTTATTCGACTCCCTGCTGGCCTTCACATGCCTGGGTACAACTTTACAAAATCCATGTGAAACTCTCTCACATGATCTACAACTTTTGATACAAAACAAGAAATCTGCAAAATGAAAGTTCTCAGGCATGTTCATGGCAGCAGCACTGCCAACAACAACAAAATGGTAGCATACCATTACGATAATTTCATGGTAGCTTGTCTCCGTCAGCACACCCTGGTTGTGAGTTACATACTCAACCAGCTCGTTCAGCGCGGCCCGCTTCACCTCCTTCCACTTCAGGTCGCTGAGAGGGTCGCATGAGAAGTCGAAGATGACAGCACACTGGCGAATCTTCTGCACGAACAGGTCACTGCGCTCGCTTGGCGGAGAATCTAGAGAAGATTAGAGACACAAAGAGAATACCCAGTTGGCACACAACTTGAGGTCAGTCAAATAAGTTGAACCCGAATACATGCCTGCATTTGTCAGATAGATAACTACCCAGGTAAAAGCAGCCAGGCTGTTTTGGTAAGCCTGGCAAGATACGCAGTGGTAGAGATTGTCTAATGCAGTGCCATGGGTTGTTGCTTCTTGCCTTGGACATACAAACCTAACGGGATGTGTGTCCATCATGGACATACAAACCTAACGGGACATACAAACCTAACGGGACATACGAACCTAACGGGATGTGTGGACATACAAACCTACCAGCGGGATGTGTATCCATCATACATGTATGACCCTGGGTTTTTCACCTGCCGCTCAGCGCCAGTGCTACGGTTTGTTTAACTCTTCTAATGATGTCTGAGCAGGGGGGGTTGAACTTCGTCACGGACAGCAGACAGGTTGTGTAGTTAGATGGGCAACTGCATGGAGTCTCCAGCCAGTGACCTTGCCAAAGGTCAACTGGACAGGCAAGTGGAGTACGCTTTGTTCTCACTGATCCACCGGATAGCCAATCCTACATGTAGAGCAACGCACAACTGCACAACACATAACTGCGCTGATCTTTCAGAGAACTAACTTGCAGGTGAGATAGTCCACTGGCTTGTGGTTGTTGATATTTCCCATTCTGACTACAAGCCACTGAACCTCTCTATCCTGTCCTCCTGTAACTTTTGGATACACAAATCCACCACACGATGTGGTTCAAATTTGCTTCAACTTTCGAAAAGTTCTTCAACACAGTGGGTACCCCCCCCCCCCCCCCTCATACAGCAGCGGCAAGTGAAATCCCTTATACTGTAAAGTACAGCCAGATCTGCAGAGTGCCCCACCAACTCGTCCTTTCGTGGTCGTGCTGTGGAGGTGGTGTTCTGTCTGAAGGTCGTACAACACGTACCTTGCACACATTGCACGCTGTGCAGTCAATCTGTACTCAGTGTAACGCGGAGCCCCACACAAAAACATGCTAAGCGTGACCTTAGTACACTATGGTTCTCGCACCGTACAAACTTTGTTGCACTCTGCCATACGATTTTCCTTTCCCTGGCTGTAAAATCAAGGTGGGGCGCTCTCGTGAGACGGACGCTCTGGTGGTACTTTACGGAACATTGTAATAACTAGTGGTGTGCATGGGTAGTCGAGTGCCCGTGCTACCCGTGAGGACCTCGGGTAGACGGGTACAGAATAGTACCCGAAAACCCGAAGTCGACTAGCCGCAGATGACATCAAGTAGATGTACATGATTGCACAGTGCTCGTGTACAAATTCATGTAATACTCCGCAGGTCTGCCATGGTCTACCCAGTGACAGTGTGTAAGGGAAGGGGTGCATTGTGGTGTTACCATGGAAACCTTACCCGATCGGGTACCCGTGCTACCCGTGGAAAACTATCCGAACCCGATACCCGAAGAAAATGCTACCCGACTCAGCCCTAGTAACAACATGTCCAGGACTGTGCGGTCACAGTCACACTTCTCCCCCCCCCCCCACACACACACCCGAACACTGAGCTGCGAAGCAAGAGCATCTCTGTGCTTTGTTCAGAGGGTTGGATTTCATTCGCAACCAATGCATGTGAGCATAATGCTGCAGGCTCAGTGTCATGGCACGCGAGTTACTGGTGGAAGTATGCCCACGATACCCCAGCTTTAGTTCTCCTTGGAAGACCATTCGTGCTACAGTCCATTTCAAAACTATAGACGCGTACCTAGGCAAAAACCGTTATGCCAGCATCTATACCACATAAAATCTGTGATCACTTTGTGCATAAATTTTTCCAAATTGGGCGTCTGTTATCCAATCCTTTAGAAACTATATGAGAGTAATTGTGGAGCGATCCTGAGCAATATACCGAAAACTATTCTCAAAAAGTTCCAGCCAAATTTGAAATATTTCAAAAACCCTACGCGTCTATAGTTTTGAAATGCACTGTAGTACCGAGAATACACTGTAGGCGTCACTGGATACATGATACTCTTGCCCTCTACTCTCTCAAGATCATGGTCATGCGCAGAAGTTTTTAGCCACAGATATCGGCGCAAATCAATCCACCCAATCCAATCCAACCGATCTGTGCACACACCTTTCAGCAGTGGCAGCTTCTGCAGCTCGCGCTTGGAGGAAATGTTGAAACGGCTGGATCCCTTGTGTGACTTGTCCCTCTTCATGTGAGGAGGAGCATATTTGATTTTCTGAACTGCGGACGCGGGTGGAAACGCCCGGGGGCGCGCCTGAAACAATAACAGACAACGACACAGCTTGTCGAAAGGGCTCGCCAACATCCAGCAACGTTTATCTGGCAGTAACGTACCTCCGCGCTGCCATCCTCATGGGGCTTCGAGGCCGTCTTCGACCAAACATCAACGAAAACATAAAAAGAGAGTTTTTTGAAGGTCCGTATTTCAAGATTATGGACGCCACCGTCGTACTATACCTTCTCCTTGCTTTTAGATCTCTTCATCGAACTGCTACCTCATCCGCTCCGTTAAAACATGAGGCAACTGCCAAATCCTTTCCAACTTTCCCCCCTTCACTTCAGGCTCAGAGTGAGCTATGGACCAGGGGTTATTGTGGTCATGGACCTTCATACACTCACATTCACAAGATTCAAGAAAGTGATAGACACCTTCACAACTGTTTTACTGTTCAGATTGCTATCTGGATGTACACTCGTACTCGGACGAGACTTCACTTCCCGCAGTTTTTGCAGTGCCAGTGTGTAGTTCCCCGGGGCCAAATCGGGAGGGAGCCCAATCCAACTGTTGGTATGTGGTGAAGTCAACAGCTGCATGGAGTACGCTCGTACCGGATCGGAGTGTACGTGTAGCATGCATGGCATGCCGGCATGTCAGAGCCCGTGCACGTGCTCGACTGCACTGCTCGTAGACGTCTGGGCTTTGCGTGCAACTTTGGCCGTCGACCTATTCGGGCGCTACGTTGTGCCAAGAGTTCATAACCCTGGTTGTGCGTCACCTGGTCACCCGATCCGAAAGTGAAATGTGTCACAGCACCGTAGCTCTGTAGACCAAATACCATGAATACAGCAGATGCAGAACGACTATCTGTAGCTACAATTAATATTTAGCTGTACATGCAGTGGATCCGGGACGTATGGACAAGACTCAAGATCTAAACTAACAGAGATTAGTAAAGGGCTATGACTTATAAGATATGTACAAGACAAGACAAGTGCATTGTATACTTGGTATGGTTTATTCCATTATCATAAGCACAAAGCCAAGTTGATTTTGAGTTGAATCCAGGCCCAGGGAGTCCATGTTATGACGATTGCACCAAAAGATAAAATTGGCATCAAAAGAGTTTATGTAATTTGGATCAATACAATAGGGGAGGTTATGCATGTAGACTTCTTACACATAGTTATTGCATTCTTGCTTGCATGCCATTATTATGATATTGTCATGACTGGGGTTTTTTTTTCAGAGTCCCTCGCACGGTGTCCGGATAACTGATACGGGGAGTTCTACAGCACTGGGTGCATCTCTCTGATCTTGGGGAGAGTTGTTGGGGAGAGTTGTTGTATACCGGTACACTGTACTAGTATGCCAGTGGGCTTGCTAAGGCCTAAGGGGGGGGGGGGGGGGGGGACAAGAGGGTGTGCACAGCATGCCTGTCACGGTGAAAACCCCTCTGTACAGCACTTTGGATACTGATAAATGCCGTGCCGTCAGCCGGTACTATCAATCCCACCCATGGCCATAACTTTACACAACACAGGCACACGCGTGTACGTCTACTGTGAGTTCCATGCAAGAAAAAGAGGATGGAGGAGAAAGTGCTGTGACTCTGAGTTCCACACACAAGTCAGCGATCACCAGACAACAGTGTGAATGCTGTCTGATTATTTTTTTAGCATTCGCTTACTTGTATGACACTCAGTCAAAACACGCTCTCCCTCCTCCTCTTGTTGTAAGTAACTCTGCCTTTGGGCATCAATCACTCTATTTTTGTATTGGACAGCCTGGAACCTTTCTGTGTTCGTACGTACGTACATGTAGATACATCGGACCCCGAGGGGGAAATCCCACCGTTAGTTACAATACATACTAACTGCTATTGACTTCAAAACTTGCTCTCGCTGCAGACTACACAATGTCAATGTAGAAAGGGGGTGGGGGTGAGGACTATCACACAGCCACAAGCAGAATTTCTCAAGCCAATACTAGTAAGATGTGCTGTAGTGACAGTGTATGGACCAGAACATTCCTACTTGAAGTATAATGTAGATGCATGTAAAGAAACATGACAAACGAAGAGTGGGTCATGTCGATTGGCTTGGTCATAACAGTTACAATAATCATTTGCTGGAAGTGCAGTTTCTCATGTTGTAGCCCCCGTCAGGAAAATAATGAGCCGGAGAGACTCGGCAGAGCCCAGCCTCACTTAGAAGTTAGTCTGCCAGCAGAATGATGTGTGTGTGTGTGTGTGTGTGTGTGTGTGTGTGTGTGTGTGTGTGTGTGTGTGTGTGTGTGTGTGTGTGCGTGTGTGTGCGTGCATGTGTGTGTGTGTGTGCGCGTGTGTGTGCATGTGTGCGTGCGCGCGAGCACGCGGGCATGTGTGTTTCATGTTCCCGATTCCCTGTGAAAAGGCCAGGACTATGTTTCTGACGAGAAGTGTCAATAGCATACATGTACGAGCAACTGTGAATACGAACACTCGTCAATTGCTTCTCTAAACAACCATAATGTTATTATTATTATTAGGAATTGTGTCTATGGAGCAACAACACTGTAGTGATGGAACTGGCCTTCAGAGGATCCCCTCCAGCTACAGCAGGTTTAGGGAAATCCCCGTCACTTCACAGATCTCTCAACTACGAGTCGTACACTGCTCCCCTCTGGGTTTCACCTGTCACTTGAGCCAGCATGTGACAGAATTACGACGATCAGGACACCTTGAGACTGGCAGCCCAGAGCGGCGGTCGCTTTAGGTGGTCTTCCCACGGTGTCGCCGTTTCCCCCTCTGGTGGTGGTGGTACTGCTGCTGCTGCTGCGGCACAGCTTGCTGCTTCAGGCTGTGCACCGGCAGTCACAGTAGCCGCCTGTGGCTCAGGGACTGCATCGAACGGGTGCTGGAGCATCGCCAGGACACGCCGCACCTGCACAGGCACACGGAAAACACAACAGTGTACAAGGGGTGTCAGGACACACAGGAAAATCGATTTTGGAAAACTTTCATGACTGCGGTGTAGTGTGGCGATGACAGCAGAATTTGTTCTCTTTATTGCTATTTTACAATTGTTGTCTCCGCGTCGATTATCATCATACACATTCCACATACTTGTAGTCGTATACCAAGCATGGTGAAACAAGCGGTTAGCTCATCATCACCACCGCCGAGTTAGTGAGTGTCGTGACAGGAGCTGTTGGAGACCTCTTGTTTCACTGAGCCGGGCATAGTGAGGGTGACGCTCATCAGTCAGATTGCAAGCCACATGCTGTCCCAAAATGTTCAACATAATCCTGTCAGAATTGTTCTGACAAGTGACTGACAAGTGACTGGCAAGTGACTGGCAAGTGACTGGCAGGTGACCAACAAATGCCAACAAATGACTGAAAATCTGCAGACAAGTAAGTGACATGTGACTGACAAATGACTGGCAAGTGAACTGAAAGTAACTGACAAGTCACAAGAGACTAACAAATGACTGACAAAGAGACTAGCAAGTAACTGATATGCGACTGACACGTACAGTAACTGGCAAGCAATTGGCAAGTGACCCACAAGTGACTGACAAGTGATGCTGGAGTCGACCATGTAGGTTTGGTATGACTCAAATGTTGCTAAGCGAAATAGTATCAGAAGTTCACAATGCCAGCGGGAGCATAGAGTGCATAGCCACTCACCTCGGAGAAGTCGCCTTTCTCTGCCTTCTCAATGGCTTGCTGGGCAATGTAGTTACGCAATACCACTCTGACGAATTCAAGAACAACAGAGAACAGGGGATGTACGTCAGGTCAACTCAGTCAACTCAGTAGCTAAACCAAAGATAAGAGTTGTGACACGTGGTGACAAACAAAAGTCACGTTAGTGTGTTTCCAGTGGCCACGGCATTGCTTTGACCGGAGAGCAAGCCAGAAGAAGACAATCTTCAGTGTTCTTTCAACTTGTCGCTGAGTTCTCTAGTGTTTTCGCTGTGTAGAGGAGAGTTGAATCCGTTTAGCACGGTTTAGTGTTTGCAGTGGTCACCACTGGAATTGGTGGTACTGTGCTGTTATTCGGCTCTAGGCTGTAGCCAAAAAGCCCTGATCAGTGGCTCTGATATTTCTATCTCAGCGATCGCTGATTTCTTTGGTTCTTAGCAGCTGAACATTGCACCATGGCTAACAGCGAAGGAGAACTTCTTCTAAACAAAAAAAGAGAGAAAGTTCTCCGTGCCAGCTTGCGTGATCTCCAGTCAAAGTGATGAGGTGACAACTGGAAACACTAAAAAGTGTAGGTGACGCGACTCTGGTTTATCACCACCTGGAACGTCGCAACGCATTTTTCAAGAAGCGAGGCGCCATGACTTCGACGGCCTGTAGTCACAGTATAATGCAACGTTTTACAGCTCGTCCCAGCCTATACAACCATGCTCTTATGTCCCACGTTGGCCACTTTACGTCAACTACGAAGTAAGCTTTAGCTACGTGTATACCCGTATACATCCAAACCAGATCCGTTATTATACAAGATTTCGGCACGTGGACATGGTCAGGTAAGCACAACAATGACATCATCGTGTTGCAAGACAACAGCAAAAATGCTCTGATTGTACTGACGAATGGCCCAAATGAAAGCTAATGAACAACAACAACAACAACAACAACAACAACAACAACTCTCCCATACTTTTAAAATTCAAAGTGATGTAAATCACTTTCCAACTGCATAACCCACAATCTCACCTTCTCATAAATTTATCTCTTATTGGCGATGGTGCCATCGTGAGAATAAAGAATTCAAACAACAACAACAACAACAACAACAACAACAGCAACAACAACAACAACAGCAACAACAACAACAACAACGACAGCTACTAGTACTCACTTCGGGTTTGCTCGACCCATCATGTCACGGCGCTTCTGATGGGCCTGCACGGACGGGAGGCAAGGCAGAATTACAAACAGTTCTGACATCAAGGACACAAACACCAATGAAAGACTGCAGAAAGGAATTCCCAACAGGCGTCATCGCCTTTTTACAGAGTAAGGGGTGTTACTTCAAACATGGGCACCGTGACATCGACAAAACAAGGGTGACAGGGATGATCGGCCCTCATCGAGACGCGGGAGTGTTTCAAGTATTCAAGAATCGATTCCGGTACGTAATAGAACTCGGCCAATGTAAGTTATACATGATGTAAATGTATCTGCGGGTATGATGATGATGACAGCATATCACAAGGCAGAGGACACACTGTATGGAAAACAGTGTTCCTGTATTCCTATGGCAATTGGTCAAGCTTCTTTTACGGGCAAAAGAAGCACAATGGATGGAAATGCTACACAAATGCAAACCCAGAAAACAAGAAAAGGAAAAATATGTAACCCAACAGCAAAAACAACGTGCGATGAACAGTTTTTAACACTATGTGTTCCTGTGTCCTCCGTGGCCTTGTGACATGCTGTCATTATCATACCGGGTGAACTATCAAGCAAGGCTTACATACCGGTATGTATGTGCATACAACTCACCTCCAACAAGGCATCAGCAGACAGGTTTTCAATATCCAGCAGGAGACGTTTCCTATCATCATCAGCACAGACAGCACACCAACAAATTCAACGTGAAAGGCATGCAGGGGCCTTACAAATGATCAAAAGGCAACTCAGGCCTAGAGCCAGTTCCGGAGATGTGGCAGGGCCCTCAGGCTGGGCCACAGGGCCAATCACTATCCCATGTTCAATTTCAGCATCATGGGTGGATACATCTCTACAGCTCTACACAAAGTTTCTAGGGTCCTTGCTGCAAATAGTGCTCTATGCCCAAGCTAGAGCAGAGTGTACCATATAAAGGCAAAACAACAGAGACCACAGGTTTTCTGGAAATCTGAGTTATTGTTCAAAATAAGTGGTTCGAACATGAAACTCAAAAAGACCTGTTGTTTTACCGACACATGTATCTCTACAGCTCTTATGCAAATTGCATACCCGGTTGTTTTACTGGTTGTTTTAGCTACACATTCTGCCAGCTACAGCTATCAACGTAGCACGGTAGCACTCACTGCATTTAAGCAGCTTTTATGAGAGATTAGGCTGTGGTTCAAGAGTGTAAAAGTGAAAGGGGTTAGAAAAAGAAGAAGAAAAAACTGTAAGGCCATGGCTGTACCCTCTATATCAGTTGTGCAAGCCCTGCAACTCTAGACGGTATAGTTGTTTGTGTCACGAACGGACATAAACGAGGGAAAATAAGGGGTCTAAAATACTATTACTACTGCACTCCAGGGCAGTTCAACGGTGGCTGTGATCACAGTCCCTCGTCTCCGTCGTGAGAACATCAAAAACTCATCATATCAAGTGCTATTATCGAAAAGACTGTAACGAGAAGAAGGTCTAACCAGACACAACTTCCATACTGAAAAACCCAGAAAACTAGACCAAGAAGAAAACTGTTCTCCGCTCTAAAAACACGGTAAACGATTATGACGTAAGGCGTCCAAAAGGAGCGAGAGTTTGAACTCCCGTTTGAACTTACAACAGATATGGCAGTACGAGATAGTAGGGGTCAAAGCATGCATATGCGAAATGTGTACAATAATGCACGACGTGGGAAAAGTGGGAAATAGTAAGTTCATGACTGCGCAGTCATGACAGTTTGACTTGGACCGGTAGTTATCAACTAGTGTCCTGCAATCCTATCGAGCTTGGGATGCAGCCGCCTGAGCACTGAAGGCGTTCATATCATGATCTGCATTACCTGTACATGTCAAGCCACTTTATCCAAAGCGTCCTGTCCTCTGCCTGCTTGCTTTCCTCTGACACCGCCTAGCAACACCAATCACACAATCGACATACAGAACACTTTATCAGCAAGAATAGCAGCAGCAGCAGCAGCAGACATAAGGACATAAGGAATTATAAAGTTGGCTGCACATAGGGCACAGTCATGCGACCATGCTCGTCAAAACACGGTCAAACATCCTACCTCCAGCGCCTTGTAGCGTTGTGCCTTGTCCAGCTCGCGCTTGATCGGTCCCAGGGCACGAGGGTCGCCGAACAAGCCTGGCTGCACCTGCATCAGCTGAGAGAGTTGTCCCAATTGCCTGCATGTACAGCAAGCACAGAGTGATGGGCAAGACAAACAAGGCAAACGAGCTCACCACTACTTGTAGCATGTTGTAAGGTAGACTGGGTTCACATGAGAAGTCAGATTACACAGCCGAAATGGGAATGGGAGCTAGGGTACAACCGTTCCATGAAAACTTGAAAAGACATTGAAATGTACTCTCTGAAAGGCCACTCAGCCTGACTGGTCACTCGGCAACCTTCCTCTTTGAGGCAGTATTGTGACTGCCAGCGCATTGCATGCAGCGCTTGATCTACATCATGCACTGACTATTGGGTAACAACAACTCACTGATCAGAAATCTGAGGCTTGCAGGCTGCTCTAAGTTCTGCCACCGTGCTGCACTGCTTGGCCAGCTCTGAAGCACATCTTATCACAGTGCAGATGAAAGGGAGAAGCAGACAGACAGCCAGACAGAGCAAACTTCAGGACCGGACCCAACAACATTCACGTGCCCAATCCAGAATGCAAGATTAACTGCTAGGCTGCTGCGTGCACTACCAATGCAGTCGATAGACAGAACACATTAGCATGCACAATAGCAGAAGGGTGTCACCTTCACCGAGGTGAGACAACCGAACACGCCCTTGGCATTCCCACATAAACCACTACACGTACAAGCACTCTATGTTCCAATGGGTGCGCGCATGCTAGAGCATCAAACGCCCCAGCAGCTAAGCTTACCGTTCCGTTGAGACTTCGTCAGAAGGCTGCAGCACAGCCAGAAGCAAGAACGTGTTGGTGAAATCCGAACCTGGCACACAACAGGGTTGTCACACAGAGACAGAATATGTCAGCAGAACGTGTACAGTAGTCTCAACAGCAACTACAGTGCTGCTCAATGAAATCCGATCAAGCAAAGTCTGTCAATGCCACGCCGGACGCTGTGCAACATCCAGCCAGACCTGCGAGCGCTGGGGTGGTGACCCGGTGCAGGGCGCACGCTTGACACACACGATCGGATTTCATTGAGAAGCGCTGTAGAAGTGCGGACTAATACGAGAACATGCTACCAAGCGAGAACCACTCAATCTAGGTAGACAATAGGGCATAGGCAGAGGAGGAAAATTAGTGGAAGGTGACCACCAAAGCCATATCAAACAGTACTACATATAGGGCATTGTGTACGCGGTGCCTGTGTTGTGCATTCAACCAAGCACGTGTGATTTGATTCATAGTCTTATGAGTCACCAGTACTAAGTACTCACCAGTCTTCTGCATGGTTTCAAAGAGCGCCTCGAGAAGTTCACTGCAGCAGAGAGAGAGAGAGAGAGAGAGAGAGAGAGAGAGAGAGAGAGAGAGAGAGAGAGAGAGAGAGAGAGAGAGAGAGGTGGAAGGAGGAATGCAATGATAAGGATGTGCAGCTATCGCCCATCACTGCCAGGGAAGATCATAAACGCCAGTCTAGTCCTGAGCATGAACGTCGCATTGGCTTTGGCAGTACATACCACCTAGATGGACACACTGATATACAGTCAACTTTGCGTATAACGACACTCGGCAGGGCATCAGAAAAGTATCGTTATTCGCGAAGTGTCCTTATACCCGAAGTCTGATTACAGTTGACCTACCCTTATAACGATAACCTCTATAACGATATTACCCTTATAACGATTTTTTTTGTCCAACCAAATCACTCCATTGACTTTTGTATACAATGCCTTACCCTTATAACAATATTGCTATAACGATATTACCCCTATAACGATATAAAATGGGCTGACCACTCGGCATTTTTCCATTTTATAACAATATCTAGCAGGGAATATGTAGGCTCCACTATCCAAGTAGGGCAAGTTTCACTTGATAAGTCACTGGGACATGACAAAATGCGATGGGGGCACCATTGATGCCTTGCTATGTACATAATGTGCATAGAACATACATGTAAGCAAGTTTTTATGCTCTAAAGAGTGTAAAAAATGAACAAAAATCATGCATTATGACGTACATGTATGAAATGAACCAGTACCCTTATAACAATATTACCCTTTTAACAATATTTCTTGGTCTGACGCAAATATCGTTATAAGGGTAGGTCGACTGTATATGTATACAGGTAGATGGGACTTTGCTCTGGGCATGGAAATTCTGTCGTTATTCGCGAATTGTCGTTATATCCGCAGTCGTTATTAGCGAAGTTGACTTTAGCACAATGGTACATGTACATGATGTAGACACCACAACACGGTGCAGTTGCAATACACTCAACACTCAACACCATACCTGTCATGATCCTTGAAGCCATCAGTTCGCACCAGTCCAAGCTGCAATGCATATGCACATGGAAAAACAAAAACGGGTACTCTAACATTCGTATACGAGACAAGCACGCACTAGCCCCCAGGCAATGGCCACCAACATCGGTGAGAGGCAGCACAAACAACATACTTTAATACTCTGGCACAGCACCAGTGCCTCGAGTCCAAGAAGGGCACAGTGTAAGCCTAACCTTCTGCCGCATCTTCAGCAAGTAATGTTCCTGATAGACACTGTCAAACCTGCATAGAAACACACAACACAACACAACATGACACAACATGACACAAGGCACCTAAGACACGGATGAGCGAGGCGAAACAACACAATGCCGCTGCTGATATAACACACAGCATCATCTTTCTTTCATGACCCACCCATGCAGCCAGAAGTCATCGGTAATCCAAAGGCGTAGAACATTGAGGAAGCGTTGCTAGTGACTTTGTTTGTTTGTTTTGTTTTTGCGAAGAGACCGAGTGAAATCAGCTGTTGGAGCTCAGACATAATATACCTGTGACTAGTTGCTACAATACAATTGCATGGCATAATGCCAGTACAATACAATTGCATGGCATAATGCCAGTACAATACAATTGCATGGCATAATGCCAGTACAATACAATTGCATGGCATAATGCCAGTACAATACAATTGCATGGCATAATGCCAGTACAATACAATTGCATGGCATAATGCCAGTACAATACAATTGCATGGCATAATGCCAGTACAATACAATTGCATGGCATAATGCCAGTACAATACAATTGCCTGGCATAATGCCAGTACAATACAATTGCATGGCATAATGCCAGTACAATACAATTGCATGGCATAATGCCAGTACAATACAATTGCATGGCATAATGCCAGTACAATACAATTGCATGGCATAATGCCAGTACAATACAATTGCATGGCATAATGCCAGTACAATACAATTGCATGGCATAATGCCAGTACAATACAATTGCATGGCATAATGCCAGTACAATACAATTGCATGGCATAATGCCAGTACAATACAATTGCATGGCATAATGCCAGTACAATACAATTGCATGGCATAATGCCAGTACAATACAATTGCATGGCATAATGCCAGTACAATACAATTGCATGGCATAATGCCAGTACAATACAATTGCATGGCATAATGCCAGTACAATACAATTGCATGGCATAATGCCAGTACAATACAATTGCATGGCATAATGCCAGTACAATACAATTGCATGGCATAATGCCAGTACAATACAATTATTATTATACGCATTCCCGCGTTGAAGTGTAGCAGCAGTATGCTGCGTCCACAGCTTCGCTTATGCAGAATGGCTTGGGTGAGAGGAGAGGGGAGAGAAAGCAACAAGGCAACCAACATCTATGAAATTGGTCACAATAACATGAAGAGAACCAACCTACATAATGCATGATTGCACAAGAATGGAGACGACCAAATATAATGGCTATAATCATTGTGCCACAAAACCGGTACACAGGAGATCTGACGAAAATGTAACGAAACATAAAACTCAGTTACTCAATACAGGTTCCACTAAATTACAAGAGAACAACGCTACAACGTTAGAATTGCCGCTAAATTATCGCAAGTGTAGAGAACGAGTCCAATACAAATGAAAACCATGAACAGACTGTCCCGAAGTTATTTTGGGAACAAATTGTACTACATGACTGTACTTGCTGATACTGACGCTGACGGAACACGAATTTGAGTTGAATACTCACGAAGTCTTGTACATGCACATCATTATGCGCCGGTGTTGTGGAGTAAGCAGGTACGTCAGTCACCAATCCAGCTTCAGCTCCACGCTCGCTTCAGCAGAATGTTGCCCGCGTTTGCTTTGCCTCCACACGGATAGACGACCAGCGCAGAGTCCCGCAGCTCCGTGGCCGTAAGGTCTTGATATTCGCCGTTAGCGCCGTCACGGCAAGTCTCAGTCCACCTCTCACACCAAGCCGCCCTATAAAAATCTTTCTCTCTCCATTGGAGTGCTCCCCAGTTGCGCGAGGAGACTAGAGAAATTCCTCCGGTGAGCGAGGAAGAAGAGCGGAGTTACCCAACTCAACCTAACTACAATACAATTGCATGGCATAATGCCAGTACAATACAATTGCATGGCATAATGCCAGTACAATACAATTGCATGGCATAATGCCAGTACAATACAATTGCATGGCATAATGCCAGTACAATACAATTGCATGGCATAATGCCAGTACAATACAATTGCATGGCATAATGCCAGTACAATACAATTGCATGGCATAATGCCAGTACAATACAATTGCATGGCATAATGCCAGTACAATACAATTGCATGGCATAATGCCAGTACAATACAATTGCATGGCGTAATGCCAGTACAATACAATTGCATGGCATAATGCCAGTACAATACAATTGCATGGCATAATGCCAGTACAATACAATTGCATGGCATAATGCCAGTACAATACAATTGCATGGCATAATGCCAGTACAATACAATTGCATGGCATAATGCCAGTACAATACAATTGCATGGCATGATGCCAGTACAATACAATTGCATGGCATAATGCCAGTACAAGTACGATTTCGTGCAATAAACAGAAACAACACACATATGACATGCACATTCAGCCTACCGGTCCAACAGCGGACTGGTCTTCTCCTGGCTCAGCACAGGCGACAGTGCCTCAGCAAACTTGCCCAAGTTCCAGCGACACATCTCTGGCTGCTTCTTGTATGAGTAGCGGCCCTCTTCATCTAAACACACAATACAGTAACTGTTGTTGGACTGGTATTACAGTATAATTATGTATAACATCTGGTCTACTACCTTTGATTCATGATCAGTACAAAAAGTTTAAAACCAACTAGAAAAGGTGCCTGTTACCAATATTGCCTTCGTTCAGTTCTAACTTCTAAGCCAGCATGTGTACCTAAACACAGGACACGCTGACGGTGCGGGACGTAATGTATGTCCGGATGGCATGGGGTGAGCTGTCAAATCGTGTACGATTCGTATGACACGACATGCTGCAGTTGTTGCGACGTTCAACAGCGAACAGTGCGAGACATAAGGCACAGTCCGTGACAGGGTGACTTCCGGACCTATTTTTTTTGGTTTTCGGGACTTCTTTTCATCTAATCCTCCTTGAATGAAGCGGAATCAAGTCCACAATACCAATCTTTCATGAAGACCAAAAAAGCAGCCCTGAATGTCGGGCGATTCAAATAATAGCCCCAGGAAATGATAATACAGTTCGTCTGTCATGCTCCTAAACTACCGTAAAAGCCCGTGCATAGGCCCCGGGCGTATAGAATAGCAGCCTCGATTTCCTGGGCGTATACAAGGGCACGGGCATTATTTTGGAACCGGACGTATACTGGGAATAGGGATAGCAGAAAGTAATGGGTATCAGTACCTGTACATGTACTGGTGTTTCCGGCATACCTGGGCGTATACATGGGCATGGGCGCTATTTCGAAACAAAAGTGTTGACTTCCCCTGACTGGGCGTGTACACGTAGGGTGGGTGTAATTTCGAGTGGGCGTATACAGGGGCTTTTACGGTATCCCTAGATACCATAAATTTACTACATGAGATCTTAGCTTGCTAAAATTCAACTCAAGTCGTGTTAGCCATTCTGTGAGTTATGAGAAGCGCAGTGTTCGAAATGCTAAAAATGTCCAAGTACGAATCGGGAGAAGTCGGCGCACGACACCGTCTCCTGCTCACACTCAAAGTGCAGCCGTTTTGTACGCTTGCGTCCCCGTCTACGCCCGTCTACCAGTACGGTATGAAAAGTTGAACTGACGCAGCTCTTCCCGTCGCTTCCCGATCCGTACGGTAGTACGGTTGCGTTCCCATTCCTGGTGTTCACATTGGATGCCGTCAGACCGTCCCGTCGCTTCTCGTCTATCCGTTTGTTCCATTATCACTCTAGCCAATGTATTCTTATATCCCGTCACTCTATAGGCCATACTGACTGTACACACACAAGATAGGGACCTGGCCGCGGTTACTCCACTGGATTTCAAAGTCCACAACAGAATTATACGAGTTGTGTCTCACACGTCTAGTCCACCTCCCCTCCCCCCCCCCCCCACTGCAATCTCTGCATGCTATGCTGTACACGCAATGTACCTGATGAGTTGCATATGAAGTTAGGGTTGAATGAGTCCATGAAGCCAAAGGGACCATAGTCAATTGTGATGCCCATGATGCTCATGTTGTCCGTGTTCAGAACTCTGAAAGAGGCGATAAAAACAACAGATAGCCAAATTGACGGCTTAGAGCACAAGTTGTACTAAGTCGAGTTCCTAATACAGTATAGTATAATAGATTGCACAGCCAGAAAGTTCCTACTGCCATCGAAACTGAGATCGTCCAGATCCACGCATCGACATCTGGGGTTCCACCCTGCCCATCAGCCAAGCTATCGCCTGATAAAGAAATCGCCGCCATCACTAGTTGTCTCAATACAAACACTCACACAAGGTCCCTCGGCTGCAAACGCTACAAAATGTTCACCACATTTACATGCGTGACCCATTATCAGAGTGCAGTAACAACTGGCACTGCTGTAAGTGTTGACTCGTGACCATGTCCTCTCCCCCCCCCCCCCTCCCCTCCCTTCGAAAGGCTACTGTAATTTCACAAATTTTCGGCGTACTTATATCTTCGGTACTTTCGGTGCATCTATTTCATATCTAAAATTTCAATAAACCGAACAAACACTGACACACATAATCCAATAGGGAACTGCTTCTCTGTACCTAAAATTTCTGTTCACCTAACCTGGCCTTTTGCCCTTAACTTAATATACCGGAAATATTGAGCACTTAAAACTTCTGAAATTAGAGCACCCGGACACACACCTGCATACAAGTACAGTGTATAGCACTTTCTTGGTCCTGAAGGCTCTATCTCTATAGTTTACCATCGCTTTCCAGGAATGCCAAGTGCGTATCAACTCACTATCAAGAAAGCTCGACACAGACACCTCAGGCTATCACGTATCAGTACGTAACCACTCGAGCAACTAACTCTCCAACAACAAACCACACCACACCACACATATACATATACACGTACCCATGGCAAAATCCTACGCACTGCCACTCAGCTACAAGACGAGCGGTGGACTCCACGACCTCCCGAAAAAAGCCCAGGCGCTGCTCTTCTGTCGAGAGCGAGGTCGAAATCTGCATGCACACAACAGAGAAAGAGAGAGGGAGAGAAAAGAGAGAGGGAAAGAGAGAGAGAGAGAGAGAGAGAGAGAGAGAGAGAGAGAGAGACAGAGAGAGACGGAGAGGGAGAGGGAGAGGGAGAGGGAGAGGGAGAGGGAGAGAGAGAGAGAGAAAGAGACAGAGAGAGAGAGAGAGAGACAGAGAGAGAGAGACAGAGAGAGAGAGGGAGACACACAAACACACACAGAAATGTCCTCAGATGGTATAGAAACGGCAGGGTCCATCCCGCTTTTAGCTAGCTGGTTGAGCACTCGCTAGAGTCAAACTCACCTGGGGGAAATACGTGTGTATGGCAAAGTCCAGCAGCTTCTCCAACAGCTGAACATCTCCTTCACTGGGACCTGCACGGCCAGTGGACTCATCAGGCGACTTGAAGATCTCAAACGAGCCAAACCTGCACCAGCAGACGATCAACAAAAATACATAACTTCACGGCCCTGTGTGCTAGTCAGCCAGACTGAGTTTCCAGCGCCCGTAGGAACGCCACCACCCTCGAGGATCAAGGTGCAGATGCAGGTGGGTGCGAGTTGATCAGACAGCCCCAAGTGGAAATAACTGAAAAACTGTGAAAACCTTCAGCCGCATTCATGTTACTCTCATAGCAAAAGTATGCACGTTTAAAAAAAGGAAGCATTCACACCCGAACTGCCTTTAGTTTAAACAGACTCCTTGCCCAACTCCTCCTAAACAGAAACAACTACTTTTGCCGTGGAAATGTAACAGTCGGTTCAATTATTGGCCGTCAGCAGCGAACCGTCTGAACAAGTGACCGTCGACCCAATAAGCCACCAAAAAACAACTAAGAACTCAACACATGCGTACAAAGGAGTTGGTGTATGTGATGTGCAGATAAACACATGCAACGGCAGGGTGTGTAAGTATACATTCAACAAAGTCACAGAGGCCAACACCAGTCCAGCACAAGCTCAGTGAATTCATTCATGAGTATACAGTATATACTGGTAGGTGCAGATTCAACACAGTAACGTAGACCAACACCTGCCCAGCACAAGCTCAGTGAATTCATTCACGAGTATGTGTATTTACTACTATAATTGATTATTAGTTGTAATTTATTACCCTCTACCTCAAGAATGTAGGTGAAATGCGCAGCACCACCGTCGCTCTTTCGTAAGCCGACTGTCCAGTGTAGAATTTGTCACGCAATACTTGAGTGTCGCTAGTCACGCATGTACCGGCTGCACATTCAACGAGAGCGACAATAAAGAAGAAGAAGAAAAAAGAAAACAACACGTTTCGGTGGCAACAGTCTACTACATGTGCATCAACATTAATTGACGTTAAAATATCTGGTCTTACAGGATGTGTAGATGAGCTGTCCGGAGATTGAGTAGCATGTATGTGTAGATGAGTATACGATCAGGAGACCGCAGTGTACCAAGACGGTGCATGCGGTGGGCACTCACCACGCGTAGTTGGTATTCCAAGATGATGCATTGCCTGCAGAATAGCGCACACAACAATCACAAAACAAACACAAGCAATAATGGTGTGAGCATCCACGTGCGCAGCAGCAGCAGTAGCAGCATCACCCAGCATTCACCGCGAAAGCCATCAGAAGATGCATGACCCACCACCAACTAACCTCCCAGACCTCCGGCCGAGAAACAGCGGCATGAGCAATATAAAATTAAGGCTGGTTTGCTGCAACTCCAAGTTTCATGCTCAGTACAATCATCTGGCAACTTAGGGACACTGCTGGCCATGCCAGTATATGTATCTAATATTGACTGAGTACGAGGTCAATATAGGAAATAAAAGCCGAGTAAAAGACCGAGGCGAAGCCGAGGTCTTTTACGAGGTTTTTATTTCCTATACTGACCAAGTACGAAGTCAATATTAGATTTATCATGACAAACAGTCCGCATTTCAAATTCCAGAACGATAACCTCATGAATCCCGGTTTTATGATTGCACAACCGTTGCACCACCACCTACTCATGCAGTGACAATGCTGCACTAGGCACCGTTCAACTGCGCAACCCCTAAGCAGTCAAATATAAGCAGTCAATATAGCCCTAAGGAGTGAAATATGCAGGAATATTTGACTGCTTAGGTATAGCGAAAATCAATGGGAGCCAATACTAAGGGAGTGATAAATGCAAGTAATAAAGGAGTGGAGGTGTTGCTGAGATGGTTCCGAGGTGTGGTGCTATGCTTTGGGTGCTGGGTTGGTAGCGTGCATGACGCTGAAATTTGTCAGCGAGGAAAAAGACTGAGTACACGCTGGTGGGACTGTGCTAGTGTCAGTGCTGTCCTTATTAGCGCAGAGTGTGTGGTTTGCTGGTGGCGCAGCTCAGGAGGCTGTGGTGTCAAAGTTGGTCAGGCATATGTCGTGGTATCTCAGGAGGTACTCGTTCTCATGTCGGTACTTCCCCGACAGGTTCTGAGCGCTTGTTGAGGTATGGGGTTGATCCTAGGCACTTCCCAGACAGGTTTTGAGCGCTTGTGGAGGTATGGGGTTGATCCTAGCGCATGGAGGATGTGGAACTTTTCCCTGGTGCAGAGGGTGCATGATTTCATGATATAGGTGTAGTTCCAGGTACGACCCTTCACCAGAAAAGGGGTAAGAAAACTTCAGAGAAGAGTCCCATTCTCGAGAGCTTTCATAGGAAGGCGGTGGGTCCAAGCCGAATTGCAAACTCCCGTGGTAGCACCTTGTATTCACTCCCACTGGTGTAAATGAAATGCATGTAGGGTTTCGTTCGTCGTCTCCCGATGTTCCTGCACCACATCTGTAAAGCTGGAAACTCTGTCATGTGATGCAGGCAATATACTCACAGTGCTAAGGGAGCACGTGTGTGTGTGTGTGTGTGTGTGTGTGTGCGTGTGCGTGCACGTGTGTGTGCACGTGCATGCATGTGAGTGCACACATGTGTGTGAGTGCGCGCATCCAGGTATTGGACACATGTATAGAATGAGTGTAGTCCACTCACCTCGCTGCACAGGAACTCACGGATGGAGGAACGAAGGACCTTGCGGCCATCAGCAGTGCGAGAGAAAGGAGTCAAGCCAGCACCTTTCAGTTGAATTTCCCAGCGCTCATCATTGCGTCCAAGTACTTCCCCCAATGATCTACAAACACAATAACAGTGATGAATGCTGTACTATTAGCAGGGCTATTTCAACGGTGTGGTCAAAGTTGAAAAGGGGAAATGATTACGTGGGCAAATGGATTACCGGTACGTAACCAATGGCACCGACAACATTACAGCGAAGCTGATGGCACTTGGGTACATAGACGTCCAGACAACATTACAAGCTGATGGGATGGCACTTGGGTACACAGACGTCCTGACAACATTACAGTGAAGCTGATGGGATGGCACTTGGGTACACAGACGTCCTGATGAAAGACTGACGGAAATCTGATTGGCTCTTCCACGGACTTTGCCCGTGGCCCAAGCAGAGTGGTGGCTTGGGCCATGGCACCTAAACTGAGAACCAGTTTACCCCATTTTTAGAGGCAGTGCATGCACGAGTCCCAGAAACGGCTTGATACATACTACAGTAAAACCTTTCCATGCACCGGCAGTTCTGCATAGAAACTGCACCGGCAGTTCTGCATAGAAACTGCACCGGCAGTTCTGCATAGAAACTGCACCGGCAGTTCTGCATAGAAACTGCACCGGCAGTTCTGCATAGAAACTGCACCGGCAGTTCTGCATAGAAACTGCACCGGCAGTTCTGCATAGAAACTGCACCGGCAGTTCTGCATAGAAACTGCACCGGCAGTTCTGCATAGAAACTGCACCGGCAGTTCTGCATAGAAACTGCACCGGCAGTTCTGCATAGAAACTGCACCGGCAGTTCTGCATAGAAACTGCACCGGAAACAGCGACCACCTGCGTTGCGCAACCAGCGACCGACTTTTAGTGTACCGCGTGCCATATGTGACCTGCATACAGCGACCAAAAGTGCTGTCCTGACTGGTAGGCTTGACTGCATACAACAGGGTTGAAATGCCCTCAGAAGCGAGTGCATGCAGTCAACGGAAGGGACAAGTGACAGTGCCGGGTGCGCTGCATGCACTTGAGTGAGGCGTGAAACTCGTGGATGCTTCGTCTGCATGAAAGTGTTCTGTACCCAACACCCGTAAATACTAAGTATGAACAAATGGAAGTACAGGCATGATCCGGCATGCCGCGAATGTATGGGACCTTGTTCTAAAGACCACCTGCGACCGTTTTTGCTCGCACCCGGGGCGTGTGGTGGTCGCCTAAACCAGGTCATACTGTACTTACTTCCCCTCACTTCTCTTCAAATGATCTTAATCAATGAAACTGTTCTACAGAATCTTACATGGCAGCACCATCTCCAAGTTGACCAGAGAAGTATCCAAACTAATGATCTTAATCAATGAAACTGTTCTACAGAATCTTACATGGCAGCACCATCTCCAAGTTGACCAGAGAAGTATCCAAACTGATGGCCACAGTAACAGTGGGCAGCTGGTGTCGAGCCGGGTAGAATTGAATTTCCCGAGAACACTTCTGCCAGCTCTTCTTCAGAAACGTTGCCAGTTATTCCCACAAGATTGAGTGCATCGTCTGAAGCACAGACCAGGCTGGGGTTTTCCACAGGCGTGGGCTTCACCAATGAAAAGCAGGCATTCAGCACCTGCCTTGACCTGATCGGTTCTTTCTCCTCCACAGGCAGTGAGCGCAGCTGGAGGTTATCGAATCGCAAATTCGTCAAAGTTGACATGGCTGCTGAATGACAAGCACTGGTTCTACGGTGCACTCCTGCAAGCTGCCTCGCCAGAGACAACATGCAGCCCTAGGCTGCAGCCCCAAATAGAGGTTACAAAGTAAAGGAATGCTAATCTGCTGAGGTCTCCAGTTCTACCTCAATCATGACCCACTACAACAACAGTACAATTCATGCTGCAGCAATATTTGAAAAGAACAAACTACTAAACTTATTACTTACTTTGCCAAAAAAAGGTGAACAGAAATTTTCAAATCCAGACAACAAGAGATACGATGTACGTGTACGATCGCGATCACGAGTCGACACAGACGTCATCATGCATCATATCAATGACAAATTCATTATGTCACTGATCAAGTCAGAAGTGGCACGTGGTGATGTTCATGTAGTACTAATAATGACGCGTCTTGTATACCGGGGAGTAGTTTTTTACTACTCCCGGGTGCTAACTACTCGATTCAACGCAGATCGCCGGTCCCGCCGTGGGCGCGCTAGTCAGGTATTCAGTCCACCTATCGAAAGACTACATGGTGGGGCTGATCAGATCGCTCGGTACCGTCGCCGCGTCGGTATCTACCGGTACTACAACTTGTACTGAGTCGTATGGCGGTGGATCGTCTCCCGAGCGCCGCAAGAAAGCGTTTTTTGCCACTTTGCGAAAAGTGGAAACGTGGACCAACGAGAGTGACAAATGTCAAATCCTTTGAGTTGCCCTTTCACTTGGGCCAGTTTAGGGCCTACTGACAGTACTGTATACGGTATTCACTCAGGCTTGTACTCAAGACTGCTGTACAAGTCATCTATTTTCTTTTGAAGGAAGATTTGGAAGTCCGTTCAGAGACGCACTGGACTCACCCAGAAAACTTTTTGTTTGATCTTTTGGTGTAGATAACTTACTTGTAGCAATCGATCATGGCTGAGAGTGAAGAAGCTATCCGAGAACAAATCAAATCCACTCAACGGGCCATGGTCCAGGAATTGGTCGAGGCAGCAAAAAAGCCGTCATTCAACGTTCCCAAACCGTCTCTTCTTATGTTCGGCAGAGAGTCGACGGAAGGATATTGGCGCTACATGGATCATGTTGGATGGGATTTGGAAGCCGCTCTTCGCTTGCTTCAATCCGCTTACGATTGGCAGAGTAAAATGGGCCCAGCTGTGCAGGGCATTCTGAAGAACCTATTTGCCAAGAATCCAGGATATTTGAGCCTCCGTCAAGTTGGTTTTGACAGGATCGGAAAACCCGTTCTGTACTGTTGCTTTGCTCAGAACCAGGCAAAGCCAGCTGACCTCGGAGTTGACAGCATAATTGCCTTGTTTGCCCACGTGGCAGAGCATGCTGGCAAGTCCAGCTTGCAAAAAGACGTTGAAGAGGATGGACGGAAGTGTGTGGTTGTTTTAGACTGTACAGGATTCGATGCCCGGCTATTCTCCAAGCCCGAGCTGACCTTGAAAGTCTATCAGACGCTGTGTTTGATCTACCCAGGCGTGATTGATTCAGTAATGGTTCTGAACTACACGCAGGAGATTCGCAACACTTGGAGTACACTGAAGACCAGCTTCTCAGAAGAGCTCAACGCCAAAGTGAAGTTTGTCCCGACCACCGGAATCAACGCAACACTGAATGAGCAATTCGGCTTGGAGTTGTCGCAGTGGCTGCAGGCTGAGTTGAAACTGAACAAGGATGAGCCATTGACTGCGTCTCAAATTGCTTTCTACAAGAAGAACGCCAGTCATGACCCACGCGGCTCTCCAGTTTACGTTGACAACTACCTCGATAAAGACGGTTTTGTTGACGGACATCAACCTCATCCAGGCGTATTATTCGGCAAGTAATTTGTTTCAGTGTCCCCCAAACTAACCCGGGCTTTTGACACCGGGTGTATAACACAATCTTGTGACCTAAGCCTCATCTCGGCATGATAATTGTCTGCCTACAAACTAGGGTAGTGGATTTTGTACTAGATATTATTAGAAGTGTCTAGTGTGCCACTGTCGCAAGATCAGCTGTTGCCACTTTTAGCGCTTTTTACGCTTTTATTTTTTTTAATTTTCTGCTCTGTGGCTTGTAACTTTTTTCTCTTGGTCGATTCGGGGGCCGCCGTCAGTGTGTTGTTCGTGCGGTGCTGTATTTCTTCATTTATACTTATTAGGAACGGTTTAATTCCTGAAGCGGCTTGAGTTTCGCTATCTTTCCTGTGTCCATTTTCACCTTTCCAATTCCCAACGAATAATGTGATGTAATCCCGAGGCCATGCTGGATCTACAATATACCACTTGCAGAGTGACAAGTTTTAATATTCAGGCTCAATCGGCACAATTTGTTCAAGTGACTGTCAATATCTGGCGTATTTAAGAGCTAACCCCCAGCCTACCTAGTTTGTTTCCCATTCAGTTCACATGCTTGCAGTTCGGGATGGTCAAGTTCATGTAAGCAACGAGTCCTTCCCACGGTGCCAATCAATACTGCGCATGTAATGCGTGTTTGGCACATTTGTGTCCAACCAGCTGCTTGTGAGCAGTCTGTTGAAAGCACCCATTCCGTCCTGACACGGTGTATGGATGACCTAGCTTGCAATGATACTGTGCATGCTATCTCCAGTTGAGAACTGCTGCAAAATTGAAAGCCATGAATAATTACTCCATCATCATGGCTGCACAGTAATTGGCATTATCCAGTGTTCACATCGCAGCCTGGTACATACAGGTGGAATCCTGATAATTCGAACCTCAACATGCCAGGACAAAACTTCTAATTATCCGGACATTCTAATTATCCAAACATGAACCCACAACACAATAATGTATATCAAAATGCTCTCATGATCACCATGGACATGGTCACGCAGCGTTGGGCTGTTCATCACTCAGACACATGCAGTCCGTGCGCCGCGCGCGCCAAGGGCACGGCTGTTACGGGGAGGTCACTTGGCAAGATGGCGGCGACCTGTAGCAACGCCCCTGGCAACAGAGGTCACACGGAAAGCGTGGGTACGCTCATCGCATTTTTCAAATTTTCATGATCATTTCTGCAGAAAGAAAAGGTTCTGTCACTTCGAATACTTGAAATAGTACTTTTATGGATTTCGTCTCTTCAGTCTCTTGCTCGTCAAAAAATGTTGTTGGAGGCAGCTGTGCTCCGCGAAGTGCAACGGATACCGCTCAGTAGCAGATAAAGGAGATGTGCTTCGCAGGACTCTTTCGCAAAATGACGACCTGCGCCTCGGATCGGAGGAGAACTTTTTGTCAAGTTTACTCAATCTCTGGACAGCTATAGCTGTTTCGACCTTGTTAGGTCTCATCAGCGGAGTTCGCAGTGTGTGGCCGAACAGATCAGCAAGAATTAGTTTCAACCCTGTTACAGTGTTAGGTCTCATCAGGGGAGCTCAGAGTGTGTTGCCGAACAGATCAGCAAGAATTAATTTCAACCTTGTTAGGTCTCATCAGAGGAGCTCAGAGTGTGTGGCCGAACAGATCAGCAAGAATTAATTTCAACCTTGTTAGGTCTCATCAGAGGAGCTCAGAGTGTGTGGCCGAACAGATCAGCAAGAATTAATTTCAACCTTGTTAGGTCTCATCAGAGGAGCTCAGAGTGTGTGGCCGAACAGATCAGCAAGAATTAATTTCAACCCTGTACAAGGAAGGACATGGCACTCGAGAAGGTGAAGCTTATGAGTCACATTGCCTAACTTGCGTGCCAGAACCTCCGCTCTGCAGGTGGCCATGAAGGTGTGGATGGCATCACCCAGAACCTGCCTTGTTGCTGTTGTAAAAACCAGCTTGCCGCTGAACAGCTTGCGACATGCTGCATACTCTGTGAAGAGTCTCGAGTAGCGATCTCTCAAGGACTTTGCCTGGGCAAGCAGCTGAACCTCGCCGCTGTCCGCAGGTGTGCGGCTCTGCACGACTGTAAGGGGAACAGAAGTGAGGGCAGCAATGACATCCGGTTTCAACGCACGGTGTATGTGGTTGCCGACAAATGCTCTGGAGTGATATGCTTGCCGCTTTATTTGGTACTGTGGCAGTACTGCTTCCAAGGAAGTTACGCACGGGCCAGCTGCTTTTTTTAAATCTTTTACTGTTAATTTCTCATGCTCTTTTCGAGCCACATCACCTCTCATTCATCAAATTGAGTTCCTTTTCTTTCTCCTTCCATAGGAAGTGCAGACTTGATGCCACAGTCTGCAAGCCAGCAGCCACTACTTCCTGCTGCTGAATGTGCAGCGTCACACACTGCAGCTGCCTAAGAATGCTTTGTGCTTCTGACTGTAGGTGTAGTTGTTGTGTTGCTGTGTCGTGTACGTTCTTGTTGCGTCTCAAACTGCAGCTGACTAAGAATGCTTTGTGCTTCTGACTGTAGGTGTAGTTGTTGTGTTGCTGTGTCGTGTACGTTCTTGTAGGCATTGATAAGTGCTGTAAACGCTGCAGAGTCACCGTCATCTGCAGCAAGAAACATACATTTGCTCAGTGCAATATCGATTTGATGTGCGTCAGCACAAAGTGCACCGTAAATCCAGGGATAAATCCCTAGATCTAGGTGGAGCACAGGAATACACACGTCTTGCAGCTCAACAGGAAGAATGGCTTTTCTAATCACGTTGTTGTACCGCCGTGCGTGCTGCAAGTTGGCACATGCTGCAACGAACTCTGTATTTAAAGCGTTCCGGCAGCAAGTCAGCAATTGCTTTGTATGGCGGTGATGCAATGTCGTACAGTTTCGTCAGGGGAATATCCATGCCAATTGTTGCATCGTCTAAATGCAGACTGGATGAGGCTGGAGCTACATGCATATTCATATGCATGAGTTTTTTGGTCATCACACAACACATTAATACTCAGCACAGATTCAATGGCTTTCGCATGATCTCTCACAAGGTGCTGAGTTCCACGGCTAGTACTACACAACTTTTCACCGCCTAACCTGCATACCAGCTGTAACTTTTCTTGGTGTTTTTCCATTTCAAATCCACTGAATAAAATAACAATTTCCACTAAATGTTGCAAGAGATTTGGACCCAGCGGGGCCAACAAGGAATCAGCGGGGCCCCAGCAGTAACAAAAAACAGCTACACAGATACTCTTCTCCTCGGGAAAACTACCCTTGACGTGACGAAAACTCGTTGAGCACCTCAAGGAGGCAACAAACTTCGGTGACTAGAACGATCGAACGGCAACAACTTCAGAGACAAATTTCCATGAAGAATGGCTTTTCTCGGCGAAGGAAAGCTCAAATTCACTACTTTTTTCTTTGGCGAAGTATGGTCAGGATGTTGCGCAACTGTAGCCGCGAGGACAGCTCGACGCGGTGATCAGAAGTGGTGCTTTGGAGACCCAACTGAGCAGAGATTGCGTTCAAAATACACCTCCTTGAGTACAAATTTTGAACGTTGAGAACGGGAAAGTCCCGGGAAGCGCCATCTCCTGTACAAAAACCAAGTGGGCCCGTTTTGTACTGTCGTAACAGCCGTGAAGGGGTACTCAAGGGGTGATTTTATTTGCAACCGCGGGAAACGAAGTCACCAAGACGCCTTCATTTGAGGCCTTTGGAATTGGAGAATTTATTGAATTTAGGTATGGCTCTCGTCCCTTCTAGAGAACTAACCAAGACCCTGTGGAGGCAGAAGGAGACTTCTTTGGCTCCGTGAATACACTAGCTATGCGGTGGTGTAGTTAGTTTGAGTGTGTGGTTCGTATTCAAAGTGTTCCAAGCCGCAGTTCACTCGAAGGTCATCGTGGATACGTCTGCACTTGAAAATCAAGGCTGGAAAGGACTGCCTGGTGTGTCCGAACGGTATGTTTTGCACTGAAGGCATTTTTTGTATGAATTGTTGAAAGTGTCTACTTGTTGGAAATGCAAAAGAGATGGTCGTAGATCCTTGGCCCACAACGCCCCACTAAATAAACTATGACCTGTCGTGAAATTATGTGAAATTGATCAACACAATCATCCACAAATTATCCTATGCCAAAGTACTGCAAATGCAAATAATGGCATCCCTTTACCTAGGTCATGTTTGTAGGGCCTTATGTCACATCTTTGCATGATTTCCTCATGCAAATCGTGTGCCTAGCTTCGAAAACACATTGCGCTAAGGGCCGAATATATACCTGTGAATCAGAACAACAGCACTCACTATTGCTTTCATGAGTGGTAATGGTCAGCTGAAAGGAAACTTCTATCCATCAACTCATAAGTAAAGTAATGACTAATCTCCTTGCTGCGCATGTGGTTCCTTCGTATTTACATGTACCGTAAAGTACCGCCAGAGTGCCCCACCATCTCGTCCTTTCGGGGTCGTATCGTGGAGGTGGTCTCCTGTCTGTAGGTTATACGACACGAACTTTGTACACATATTGCACGCTCTGCAGACAATCCGTACCTTCGAGCGGAAACGAGCTCCACACAAAAACCTGCTTAGTGTGACCTTAGTACACTAAGTTGCTCACACCGTACGAACTTCGTTGCACTCTGCCATACGATTTTCCTTTCCCTGGCTGTAAAATCTGTCGCGGCAAAATATAGGTGGGGCGCTCTCACGGTACTTTACGGTATGTGCGCCTCTCTGTGTTCGGTGAATGATTTTGAATATTTGCGCACGACTTCAGGATAGTGCACATTGTGTGGATGTACCTGCGTATGTAATCCTTTCATGATTTAAAAATTAGGAGCCGTGTCTCTTGTAAATGTCGGCCAATTACGTAGCGTTTGGAGACTTGCACCAGTACAGTTGCGTGTCAATTATGCGGCACCCGCGGAATAAAATGAATATTCTGGACGACTGAAGCTACAAAGCCATCTTGTGTTAACAGATCAAAAAGACAGTACTTCGAAGTACCTGTATTTATCACTAGTATTACCCTGAGACAGTCGTGCTCATCTCTAGAGACTGGCTTGTATTTAACTGAACGTAATGGCAACTTTCATGATGCTGACTGTCTACATTTACTTGAAGTAGGACTATAAATACTAAATATAAGGTCTATAAGCTGTCAGTGCGGTGCTGTTGGATACCCGACATGCCATGTGACTGACCGCCAGATAAACGACATGCGATTGTACCGGTCACAGTGTAGCTGGGTTTTCACGAAAAAATGAAACTTATACGATTGTGAGAAAAGTTCAGAAACCACACTTACACACGTACACACACACACACACATGCGCGCGCGCACGCGCACACACACACACACCTGTCCTGTTCTGTTGAGCCACTACCACAACTTGGCACAAGGATCGCATCGGCCCCAAAGGGGCAGTAGAGCGAAAGTGAGAGGTGTTGGCTTCGAGTTCACCTATCTCTACGGTGAACGCAACCTCGATCGAAAGTCATGCCAAACGGATTTATCTACCACACGCGCGCGCGTGCGCGTATACAAAACGGAGGAAGGATTACTTACTCTCCCTGTATGATGTATCTGTTGTATTCGTGAACAATGTCATTGATGTTTTTCCATGCATGTTTTTGAATATGCGAGCATAACTTCCAACATCAAGCGCATTCTTGCTTCTCATCAGCATGTACAAGTTTATGTTGGGCAGTTATGTAGCGTTTGTTTTACCGGCTGCGTTTGTTGGTGCTTGCAGGTCATTGGCATGCTATCTGTTTCACAGAAGCTCGTGTAACAGGTTCACCGTACAGCTATGAATGCAATGTAGCGTGTCGAAGCCACTTCGGTATGACGTGATGCCTCATTTCCTGGTTGCACCAAAATTGCGAGTATGCAAGTGATCGTCAAGCCTGTCCCCTGTACAGTAGCCGTCTTGCCTTGTTACGCTTGGTTCTGACTCTGCGTTCTCGTATACTCCATGCAATGTTACAAGGAATACTGCTCCCTTCTCAAGCAATTCATTGGCAACAAAACGCTCGGCTATGCCCTGTAACTTTGCTGTGCGGTTTGTGCTTTGTCAATGTTGTGTACCAGTTCATGATCTGTGCTTGCTGGTCTGTGTGTTTTCTCTCGCACAATTGAGGCGCTGTAGCACAGTGTACATTGTCGATCATCCTGCCCAGGCTCTAATCTCACGTACCACAGTACGGTTTCTCTTGTTGCTCACTGTAATGTGCATGATACAAGCTCCTTGGTACTCCATCATCACCTGGTGCTGTTGCTGCCATTGTTGGACCCTGCTGATATCCTTCTCGCAATGCCCGAACGTTGTTCCAACAAATGCACAACTCGCTCTTAGTTGTCACATTCGGTTTGGTCTCGTTCCAGTCTTTCGAATTGAGTGAGTGCGTAAACTTGTGTGAAGTGGTGAAGCAAAAGCCGTGCGCCGGCAAACATTCAATGTCAGGGTGTAATGACGCACCAAGGCCCCGGGACTTGCGTCCCCTGAGTGATTTTTGTGTGCCTAGCCTCTAGGTATCATACTATATTGGTTTGGTTCAACTGTTTTGGATGCCCACTGCAATACCATTCACTGTATTATGTGTGTATTATGTGTGTATGTTATCCAAGAAATCTCCCATATTTTTGGGTGGACAAACCTCGCCATAAGTCAGTAACCTGGCATTTTGCACCAACAGAACTCCTAGGATATCAGCGCCGTCTCAGTACCTGGGGACAGTTGTAAAGAAAAAGAAAAAATACCCTTGGCCCACAATGCCCCACTAAATAATCCGAAGGGTGTCGCGAAGACGGCAATTTCCTCACCTTTCTTTCGTGGACGAAAAAAGACACTTCGCTTCGTCCGTTGCGCATGAAACGAAACATGAGGGTAGTGTTTATCAATTAGAATCGGTATCGTGCACGAAGGAATGGCGAAAAGGTACTATGCTCGAGCGCTGGTCGTCGTCTTGTTTGTCAATTTTGAGTCCCATTGAGAATTTTCTTCTCCAGACCTCTCAAATTTCCCGCGGTTGCAAATAAAAGTGCAACTTCTAGACGACTTTTTTGAATTTGGCGCACGGACTGCATGCAGATTTCACAGATACTGAACTGACCTACGCAGCCTGCTCATCCAAACAGTTAATTAATATTTAACTGAACTGACCATTTGCGAACTAGTTACTGTACTTCGAGTCGACCTGTTTCCTGGCCTCGAGTAGAATTGTACAGAAAAATTTCAATGCTGATTATGCCTGGTCCAAAGTGGTTCAAGGCCAGTGCATGTCACATGTTTTCCAGTGAATCCAATATTGTTGCCCTTCAAAATACGGGAATGTTGCGCTGAAAGATAGTTTTGAACTAATTGATAGTCCAGTGGTATGCTAATATTCTCCAAGTTGGATTCGACATAAGACATGTTTTTGTACGGTCATGCACTATCAGCTTGTAGGAAGTTTGGCTCATGCCAGGCCACCGCCATGCCTGATTACACCCTGTATTGGTAATAACAACAGAGACTACAATAGAGAGAGAGAGAGAGAGAGAGAGAGAGAGAGAGAGAGAGAGAGAGAGAGAGAGAGAGAGAGAGAGAGAGAGAGAGAGCGAGAGAGCGAGAGAGAGAGAGAGAGAGAGAGAGAGAGAGAGAGAGAGAGAGAGAGAGAGAGAGAGAGAGAGAGAGAGAGAGAGAGAGAGAGAGAGAGAGAGAGAGGACATCTACCAAGCGCTCCACAACGGGCGAAAGCTCGTTAGCTACATACATGCGACATGTACTACCAAAAAAGACTGGTACGTTTTCACAGTGCAAGACTACGTGGGAACCAGGGAGTTGTTTATACGACTCCCTGGTGGGAACTTCAATTATCGGTCAAGTACAATGAATGCATCACGTCAACGAGTGTACACGGCAGATTGAGAGAGAGAGAGAGAGAGAGAGAGAGAGAGAGAGAGAGAGAGAGAGAGAGAGAGAGAGAGAGAGAGAGAGAGAGAGAGAGAGAGAGAGAGAGAGAGAGAGAGAGAGAGGACATCTACCAAGCGCTCCACAACGGGCGAAAGCTCGTTAGCTACATACATGCGACATGTACTACCAAAAAAGACTGGTACGTTTTCACAGTGCAAGACTACGTGGGAACCAGGGAGTTGTTTATACGACTCCCTGGTGGGAACTTCAATTATCGGTCAAGTACAATGAATGCATCACGTCAACGAGTGTACACGGCAGATTGAAACCTCTCATGTAAACACAGCCTCAGCGTAGTGAAACGGTCTATTGACTATAGCTAAAAATTAAAATAATAATAGTAATATTTAAATAATAAAAGCTTATAAAACCATGTTCAGGGCTAGGGACTCAAAGTAGTTCAGTCTATTGTCAAGTAAAAACAAAATAAAAACAAAAACGGCAACCTGTCATCAGTTTTGTAAGAAAGCTGTGCATTTGCTCCAGAGGACACAGACAAATGGGTGAAGAAAATAGAAAGTTACTGTATGAAAAGACGGTGCAGATGCGCTTTGTGGAGGAAGCGCACCCAGGATGGTAATCGTCACAGTACAACATTGTACATGTGCTGGAGAATACACATCAGCACATGTATATTGTGCAGCATAAACATGCTGTAGAGCTCACGGAGACCAGCTAGCAGTTCACACGTCAAATCACGTAGCACCGTACTGCAGCTCGTGGAGACCAGCCAGCATTGCACGCATCGTACCATAGAGTGTGGTACTGGAGCTAATGGAGACCAACTAGCAGTGCACACACTATAATTATCATACAGTGCAGTACTGGAGCTAATGGTGGCCAGTCAGGAGTGTACATGTCATACCATGTAGTGTGGTACTCATCAACACATGTAGTACTGTACTGGAGCTCATGGAGACCAACTAGGAGTGCACACATCATATCATACAGACTCCTGTCAGTGCAGTCCTGGTGCTGAGTGATGGTGACCAGCCAGCAGTGCACACACACACTATATCATACAGCGTGGTACTGTAGCTAATGGTGGCCAGTCAGGAGTGCACAAGTCATACCATGCATGTAGTGCGGTACTGTAGCTCACAGAGACCAGCTAGCAGTGAGCGCACACATCACAGCATGTAATACTGTACTGGAGCTCATGGAGCCCAGTTAGGAGTGCATATATCGCATCTCGGCAAACCTACTACAGGAAACCAAGCCAAGGATACTTCCATTTCAAAATGCCCGTCGATGAAGCTATGTTGCTATGTTAGACATAGCAACTTGTGCTAGGATTACACCAGCCAACAGCTCGCAAGGCTGCTGAATTGACCATCACTGATTTTAGCCTGGTCTACACCACACAGCTGATTGAAGCCAAGAATACATGGCAGACACAACTCAGGCACGGCAAGTCACAAGACGCACTATGCTGTATCCATCAGAACGATAGACTCGGGGAAATCGTCCGCAAGCAGGAATCCTTGTTTCTGATGACGGTTTGCCTCCTCGACAAACCCAAACCAATAGATGACCAAGCCAGGGCCGAATCTACACATCAGTTACGAAAAGCAGAGAACAAGACTTAGTGCAGACACGAAGGCACGTATTACGCCAGAGATACTGTATAGTCTAGGGTACAATGATTGGCCTTGTATTCACTTGCCGTAGCTGGACGGCATTCATGGCACTGAAACCTCGCTGAGAATAACAAGTATTCACAGCACTATTGGATAAATCACTATGTACTCCCTGCGTATAAGATATGGATAAAAATAACTCCCGTTATCATGAAGAAGTACCATCGGTCCCTTGGTGTTTGTCCTAAACAGGTTTGACTGTAAGTAGAGCTGATTGCACACTTAGTACAGGCTAGTAAAGTGCTGCTCAATAAAATCCGGTCGCGTGAGCCAAGTTTGCGCCTTGCACCATTTCGCAGCCCAGCGTTGGCAGGTCTAGTTAGGGCTGCACAGCACCCGGCGCGTACTTGAGTGACGCGACTGGATTGCATTGAGCAGCACCGTACCGCACATGCAATTCAAGCAAGAAAGTTACGACAAGTGAAATCCTACACTAGCCACAGGGGGACAGCGCCACCACAAACAGACCTCATTTATGCAACACACACACACACACACACACACTGTAAAGTACTTGTAAGACAAAGGCATACGCATCCTAAACAGGTCGATAAGTTATAGCCTACATACACACAAGGAGTATTAGCATCCAGCACAAGCACAGTTGTCAAGTGTGCACTCAGCGGCACCGGCCAACACCCTTACAGATTTCTGTAGTTCCAGAGCTGGTCTTGCAGGTGCCCAGATATTGTCTGCTCATCGCCAAACATTGCCTTGCTCTCAATCCAGTTGATGACAAAACCATTCACAGCTGTGCAATGCAAACAAGTCACCCGAGGTACACCGGGAAAGCACACAGTGAGAATGTGTAGCATGGACGACGGGCAGCACGGTACAGTACTACAGTCGTGGCCAAAGAAATCCGACCCGCGAGTCGAAAGCAGCGCCAATGCTCATGCCCTGTAGCCCTCAGATTGGTTTTTGGACCACGCATGATGTCATTGAAATGGAAACGCGACGCTGCTTTTGACTCATGGGTCGGATTTCTTTGGCCAGGACAGTACTTGTACATTGGTGGAAAATGAAATTCAGCCTGATGAGCAAACGAGAGTTGTCTTCACTTGACAGCCCAGCACTCATAGTGCTAGGGTGGCGCAGTGCCCGGGGCTGTTATACTCATGGGGCTGGATTTCATTTGCCACCTTTGTACTTCTCATAGAATAATGTCTTTGAACAAACAATAATGCTAGATTGTCCGGCAGTTAGTTGAATGAGCTTTTCCCCGGGTGCAAGCTAGCGGCACACACGGCTTCCTGGCCATCGTAAAGTGGGACAGCATACTCGTTCATGGGCACAGGCGAAGGTGGCCCTCACGGGTCATGATAGTGGCTAGTTGATCAAGTGTGTGGCAAGGTTGTGTCAGGTGGATGCCTGTCAGGTTTCACGTGACCACAGGTGATGATTTAGTTCCTGTTGGCTGAGTGCACCAGACGAAACGAGAGTCTGTTTTCTACTTTTTCTGGAGAATATCTTGTGGAACAATTTGAGTTGGCGCACAGGTGTGACGTGCACACAGCGCAAAGGTAAGTGCAAGGATCATGTGTACTGATCAACCATTGCCTTTCTTCTTGCCATGGAAATCAGGTTCAGGTTAAAAAAATTGCTATTATGTGTCGCATAAGCTCAGCAGAGAAGGATATAGTGCTGGGGAGGGCGTGGCATTTTCGTGCCATTGCAAGGTCGCATTGGATTTTGACTATTTTATAAAGTGGTAGACTCACCGATTGGGACTTCAAGCTTGACATCGGGCGTAGACGGGTATTGTTTGGCTTGCAGCTCTTCTTCATCTGCAAGCATGTACATGTACCAGAGAACAACATCAGGAGGATACCAAGTAGCGTGGGATGAATCGTCTAGCCATAGTCACGCTACCGGTAGTAGCTGGGGCACAAAGGATCTCCTTGCACATCGCATTGCATTGATCTTAAATCTATGAAGGTGACATTAGCTTTGGCACACACTACACCTCCATAGAATACGTGATTGCATGATGTAATGTGCGTAGGAAGCTCACCACAGAATGCTGCACCAACAGCAGCCAATTTCTCCTGGAGTTTCAGCTCGCATTCCAGCCCCACGGAGCTTGAGGTGCATACGTCAAGGAAAAAGACATGGACCAGTTGCGTACTTAAAGGGGAAGTTAAGGCAAAAATTGTAAATAGAGAACCCCCGACACAAGCGTTTATCACAAAAGGTCATTTTGGACACTGCCAAAACTTCCCGTGTACTGTATTATAACAAAATTTGTATACTATAGTCCCAACACGGCACCTTTCCCATTTGCATGCTTTCATGATCACAATCCAATTACCCCTACCCCTGCGCCTCTTTGGGCTCCCAGCGGCTTTGATGGGTCCACTTGTATCATAGTTAGTTTTGGCCAAGTGAGTTGGCCCTACTAATAGCATGTATTTTCTTTTCTCCTTTCACTCTGATGATTCTTTAACAAGATGAAACCGGTCAGTAAGAAAGAAAAATGACCTTTTGTGATAGACGCTTGTGTCGGGGGTTCTCTATTTACAATATTTAAGTTCCGTTATAGACCTCCCTCAAGCTTTCCAAACCCTTCGGTATGGACTCCGCTAAGGCCAAACTCGGCATGGGCCGACAGAAACCCGCTACAGACGGCTCTCCTCGCCCACCGAAACGCACTAGATTTCCTGCTGATGACGACGACGTGATCTTCGATGATGATGTCAAAGATGATGATGTCAAAGATGTTGACTCCCCTCCATCAACGCTCCTGCTTGGCGCCTCACCGCTACCGGACGCTGAACTCGAGAGGTATGTGACGTGGTGCATAAACCGCATTGCTACAAGTGAGAAAATTGTCATCGAACAGCAAGGAAAATTGGACAAACTGCAGATTCAGTCTACCAGCCAAGTCTTTGAGCAATACATTCTGAACAAGTTTTCCAAAATGTCTGATAAAGCTAGGCTTCACGAGTGTACCGAATACGTTGACACCGGCATAGCTAGCTGTAAACAGAAAATCGATAGAGCCAATACAATTACAAACGAAGCAAAGAGAGACATGGATGATGTTGTGACAACGCTATTGGATGACAAGCAAGGTGCAGACTTTGCAAGCATGATCCTGTACCGTTTCGACTACCTCCAAAGCTTGAAATGTGCTACCAACATAGTAAAGAACTTGCGTCTCTCTAAGATTGCTGAGCGGAAAACACCAAAACAACCAGTAAAACCCATGGACGTCACAGCACTCCCACCGACTACAGAAGAAATTGGCACCTTAATTAAAAAGGAAGTGGCTCGCCAAGTAAAAGGGAATGCTGTCCAACAGAAGAAAACCATACCTAATCAACCAAAGCCCACTAAACCAAAGTCCACTAAGACAAAAAACTTTGTGGTGAAGGCCTCGTCTGGCAGAAGGAAAGTCAGCCCCCCAAAGGGCAGAAGTCGATAAGAGATTTAAGACTAAGATTTGTTTGGAACTTAAAATTAAGTACCCATTCTACTTATGTTCTTAACTCTGGTTTTCATAACTTTTCTCGTTTTACCTTCACTGAAATTGAAAAACAAATTCTAGGCTATGGTTCTAGTTTTCGTCCTAGTACGTACCTTCCCTCTTCTGTTTCACTATTGAATGATATTAACTCACTAACACGTAGAGCTAGATGGAATGACTTATTTGCTAGAATGGGACCTCCAGTGTCCAATAGCTCGTTCATCCGCAAATTTCACCTTCCTTCAGAGAAAGTACCACCCACTGCTCTACCAGATGTCGAATATTCGCTTCTTGATTTCAGTAATAGGCTTACCTCCAGTGTTGCTACTGCAAAAATTACAAGCAAACGTTCTCATAATTTGACACCAAGTGAGTTTTCAGCATACAACTGTCTTAAACACAGAACAGATATCATTATTTGCAACGCAAATAAGAATCTTGGCACTGTTGTTTTAAATAGAGACGACTATCTAGCAGAAGGTTTTCGTCAACTAGCTGACGAGAAATATTATGCTGTTATGTCTGCTGACAACCAATCTTTGCATGATACATTGCACTCAAAATTGTCAAATATTTGCAAAAAACATTCTGCCTTTCTTTCCAAATCCGACACGAGTGCACTATTTAGTTGTTTCCCTTTCAAACCAGCTAAATTCTATATGCTTCCGAAAATACATAAAAAACTAGTGGCAGGCTTAGTCCCAGGCAGACCTATTGTCTCCTGTATTGGATATTGCACCTCGCCAGCATCTAGATTTATTGATTTTCATCTCAAGACTCTTATTGGTAAACATACAGACACTGTTCTTCAAGATACGTATAGTTTATCTTCTAAACTTGAAAGCTCAACTTTTCCAGCTAACAGTAAACTTGTTACTGCTGACGTTGTTAGTCTGTACACCAACATGAGCTGGGCCGATACTACTGCAGCCCTTGATCAGTTCCTTAGTACACTTGATCATCCTTTAAGGACCCTTTTAGTCGAACTAATTGCTTTTGTTCTGGAAAACAATTTTTTCAATTTTGAAAATGTTTTATACCACCAACAACACGGCATGGCAATGGGGACACCTATGGCAGTAAACGTCGCAAATGTCTTTCTTTACATACACGAAAAGAAGTCTATAGCACTTTTCCAAAAGTCTATCTACCTGTTTGATAGATTCATTGATGATTTGTTTATGATTATCGATGAGTGCATTTGCATTGACACACTTAAGCAATCTCTCTACTCTACACTTCCTGACATACATCTCACTTGGTCAGACGTTAGTGACGAGTGCATTTTCCTAGACCTTGAAATTTTCAAAGTACTTTCAGAGAATAATTGCCACATGTTATATCGGACCCACCAAAAACCCAGAAACGCATATCTCTATATTCCTTTCAAGTCTGATCACCCAAAGTCAAACTTCCGCTCTTTTATTATAGCTGAACTTGTTCGTTATAATAGGACAAATTCATTACTATGTGATGTGCTTGTTATTCGTGAGCGTTTTTGGCACAGACTTCGTCTCAGAGGCTATCCACCCCGTTTCTTGGCTCGCATCTTCGCAAGTATCGAGCCGTCACCTTCTGTTATACCTAAACAGAATAGTAAGAAACATGCTGATAGAGATAGACGTAAGATTACTTTTGTAACTGACTATCATCCTCACTTTGCAAATAATCGCCTAAAAACGATATTAGAAGAATCTTTCTCAACTTCTAACGTAGAGATCTTCTTTCGTAGAACAAAACAACTCTCATATTGAAACGTTCTCGTCTTTTAAGCTTTTAGAGACTATAGATCTAGCATTTCTCCACATTCTTCCTCCATACTTTATTTAATCACAAAACTTTTGCAGGCTTACATGCCTGCATTTTGGCAGTGTCCAAATTTGGACACTGCCAAAACTTCCCGTGTACTGTATTATAACAAAATTTGTATACTATAGTCCCAACACGGCACCTTTCCCATTTGCATGCTTTCATGATCACAATCCAATTACCCCTACCCCTGCGCCTCTTTGGGCTCCCAGCGGCTTTGATGGGTCCACTTGTATCATAGTTAGTTTTGGCCAAGTGAGTTGGCCCTACTAATAGCATGTATTTTCTTTTCTCCTTTCACTCTGATGATTCTTTAACAAGATGAAACCGGTCAGTAAGAAAGAAAAATGACCTTTTGTGATAAACGCTTGTGTCGGGGGTTCTCTATTTACAATATTTTGGCAGTGTCCAAATTTGGACACTGCCAAAACTTCCCGTGTACTGTATTATAACAAAATTTGTATACTATAGTCCCAACACGGCACCTTTCCCATTTGCATGCTTTCATGATCACAATCCAATTACCCCTACCCCTGCGCCTCTTTGGGCTCCCAGCGGCTTTGATGGGTCCACTTGTATCATAGTTAGTTTTGGCCAAGTGAGTTGGCCCTACTAATAGCATGTATTTTCTTTTCTCCTTTCACTCTGACGATTCTTTAACAAGATGAAACCGGTCAGTAAGAAAGAAAAATGACCTTTTGTGATAAACGCTTGTGTCGGGGGTTCTCTATTTACAATATTTAAGTGCTGAGTCGAATGGTCTTGGTCCGAGAAAGCTGAGACGCTCCCTTCCTACTTGAATCCCAATCGAACTCGCGCACTTCCACCGAAACTGGGTGACTGCGCCCTACTAGATGGGGATTTGTATGCAAAATGTCACTAAAAGCGCCATTTCGTTCTTATAAATGCACGGATGACCGCGATTGGCCCATATGTTGTAGTCTTTTGGACGCTGAGTCGACTGGTTTTGGTCCGAAAAGGCTGCGATGCAGCGTTCCTCCTTTATTCCCAATCGAACATGGTTGAACAAGCGGTCACGTGCTCCTGCGTACACCAGTCAGCTGGTCACCGTGCCTGCAGGGTACAACTTACTAGCCTTTTTGACCTTTTTGGGTGCAGTCCTGTCACTCGAGTTGAACTCGAGTTGAACCTTGGTGTGAAAGTTGTCGCCTCCTGGCGTAGTGACCAGGTGATTTGGGCACCCAGGAGCACGTGACCACTTGTTCAACCATGTTCGATTGGGAATAAAGGAGGAACGCTGCATCGCAGCCTTTTCGGACCAAAACCAGTCGACTCAGCGTCCAAAAGACTACAACATATGGGCCAATCGCGGTCATCCGTGCTTTTATAAGAACGAAATGGCGCTTTTAGTGACATTTTGCATACAAATCCCCATCTAGTAGGGCGCAGTCACCCAGTTTCGGTGGAAGTGCGCGAGTTCGATTGGGATTCAAGTAGGAAGGGAGCGTCTCAGCTTCCTCGGACCACGACCATTCGACTCAGCACCCCGAAGACTACAACTGGTGAAATTTTAATTTTTGCCTTAACTTCCCCTTTAATTCAGCGGTATGCGTGTGGGTGTTCAAGTGGTGTGGCACAACACACAATGCTGTGAGGATACTGCTTGATCTTGTCCACCAGAGGACCATAATTGGGATCCTGCAGAACACACTGATCAGAAGTAGCAAGATACACCAGATGCACCAGACACACCAATGATTGATATCTAACAGAAAGATGGATATTTCAGTGATAACTACAGACACAACAACATCTCCATCAGGCAAAAACGCACAGGGCATGAAATTCTGGATTCCCAAACAATCCTGCACGACAGTGCAAGCGGGTGCAGTGCCGCGTGCACACACCGAAAGCCCAAACAATCCTGAACAATGACAGTGCATGCTGGTGCAATGCATGCACACTCCGAAAGCCCAAACAAGCCTTATTCTGGACGCTGGAAGTGAGCCAGGAAGACTGGAGTCTAAAGCGGCCAGTAACGACACGACAACATGGCACCAGTGCATGCATTCCCAACAAAGCAATTTTGGTTGTTGATCAGAGAGGGAGGTCAGGCAACAGTGGGACACGGCGGTGGGTATTACCAGGATGGTCCAAAAGCATTGGGACTAACAGTTGAAAAGTAGTTCACAGAGCACACGCGGTGACATACTGCAGCAAAGTCACAACTCACCTGCTGAACCTCCGCTGCAAGTATTTTATCAGGGATAAGCGGCGGTTGAGCTATCCATTTGGAAACCAGGGACCGAGAGGCTGAACAGGGAGGGAATTTAAAAGGCAAACGAGGTGCCATAAGAGGACAGTGGACTATTAAAACCCTATCACAATGACTTTCATACCTGCCAAACATTGCAAACATGAGATCGGGACAACGACATACCTAGGTATGAAATGTATACAAAATGTAGCTGTGAGGCATACGACTAATGCACTTTTGGGTGCCTATTACCACCCTCGATATCGGGACGGTCCAGGCCTAATCGGCATGGTGGGCAGGTACGGACTACGTTCTTGTTCTATGATTTTTCAGTGAAAACCTGTCTAGGCTGACCGCAAGGGACCTACAAAATGTGGGCCCTGTGTACAGGTGGTCTCCGTATCCATGGTTATTCGACTGGAAATAATATCCCTTGGTCCAAGTTGTATTGTCCTCTAGAAAAGGCGGTCGCCTCGACAGGTTTTACTGTAGCACTATTGACCAGAAAATTGGCAGTCTTGTTTACAAGGAAAACATTAACTTCACCACAACATTCACTTTTGAAGCTTCAGAAGATAAGCGGCTGTACGGCAGTACGTACATGGATTGTTCATCTCATGCAAACAGTATCGCTCCAGGATGATCCTCGCGAGAAGAGTCGGCGCCAAGCATACCTGTCCAAGAGAAGAGAAGAGAAGAGAAGGGACGGGTGAAAAAAAAGGAGCAGGGAGAAATAAGTGAACAGAAACATACACACAGAGTGCACAAACATACGCTTGACCTACGCGTGGGTGCAAAAACATATACATACAGAGTGCACAAACATACGCTTGACCTACGCGTGGGTGTATGGACTTGCTAGTCTGAGAAGCACACTTTGATTATATCTCATTCTCAGCATAAACATGCACATGGAAGAAGAAGAAGAAGAAGAAGACGTAAAAAATTCAACTGTAGAGACAGAAAGATACAGGTCGAGTCCGGATAGTAAGGACCCCGGAGGCATTCAAATAATTCTCACTAATAGACTTTTCGAAGAGCTTTTTCTTCTTGTGAAGAGGTCGCATATTGGCCTCTTCATAAAACAACAGCCTCCTCTATACCCCTCACAAAACCCCACAGCCTCTTCTGGATGATACATACCGATTCTCCAGGCGCTGTCACTTGTGATTGAGTTCAGCACATGGCAGGCGATACACAACTAGATGTACACTGGTACATAATGCCTGATTGTGCGTGGCATTGCCCTGATCCTGGCGGCTAGTTTTAGATCTGGAAGTACACTTGCGCTCGGCGAATCCGACCCGAAGTGCATATTCGGCGCACTCAACTTGCACGGCCGTTGACGCCCTGCAAGTGGTAGAGTGCGGCTGGACGTACACGTGTATACTGCATAGCACAGTGGAACTGGTCCAGGGCGCCAGTTCGCACTTCGGGTCGGATTTCAGTGAGTGCAACTATAGATAGATCGAGACAGTAAGGGATAGATGAAGTTTTACCTCGTTCGCCATCTGTGTCAGTACAGATCCTTCGGGACTGTCCTCTTTCTCACGCAAATACCTACACGGCAAGCAAGAGAGTACAGCACCATCCAAATAAGTATACAGGTAGAGATCTGTTACAGCGTTGGTGCACGAAGAAGTGTGATTGGATCACCATAGATGATTATCACTACATATGATTGGACAGGGTAGTACTGTACTTCAAAGTATGTACAGTGATAACTTTACGACTTAGTCATGATGGCATACACAAAGAGACGTGCATCAAGCATGTAAATACCCTACCGAGACTTGTAAAGTACAAAATAACAACCTGCATCTACTCTATGACCACACTGCTGTAGTGCACAGCATTTACACAATCTCAGTTTCCCAAAGCTTCCTGTAGGTGCCACCAATTACCATAAACGATACATAATGTATGCAATTGAGTGGTCTTGAAGTGAGAATTTGATCACAATAGACGATATATGGCCCAGAATCTGCGAAAACCAGGCTTAGGGTGAAATTTCACAAAATGACTTTTTCCCATTTTCAGCTTCTACTGGGCATGGGAGGTCAGGAGACAAAATATTACAGGTGTGGGTCGACTCATAGTGGTATTAAAAGTATCTCAAACACACCAGGGTATTGTGTTAAAAAATCCAAAAAAAACACAAAATTGTTATCACAGGAAAGAAATGAAGAGAGATCCACCAGAGTGAAGGAAGAGACATGAATGATTTTTGTTTAGGTGACATGACAAGGTAGGCATGTGAGGGCAGGCTTGTTGACATTCTTGTGGCCCCTTCAAGGGCCCTTGGTCCATGGTGCTGCAGGCTGTAGTGGCCATGCACAGTTTTGCATGAATTTTGTTTGCTCCTCACTCAGCACATTCTGGGGCTGCATACATGTACTGGCATGCTCTGGCGCTACACACCACAAGGAAACCCGACTCCAGTTGAGATGGCACCTTTTGAAAGGTGAATCTAGTACAACTATTCAAAAACAAGCAAGAACACGGCCTTTCAAACTGTTCCACTGTTCGTAGTATGCGCATAGTGATAGTGTGCTCGCGTGCTGCAGTGTCTGCTTGGTGCTGACCAGCAAGTGAAATCTCGGCACGCCGTACGTCAATCCCTTGGCAGGCCTTGCAGCTAGCTGTCCAGCGAGGAAAGTCTCGAGTGGAGGCCTCTCGATCTGCTCGCTCGTTCGCCTGGCATTCAGTAGCACTTCATCGCCAAGGACTTCAATTCAAAACATTTTCACACTGCGCTTCTAGCCTTTTTCCTCGTGAACTTGCTGCAAACGTATGAGCTCTGCTGCGCGTGTCCCCTTTGCGTGAGGCCCAGAAACAGCTAGTATCTCCATACTTCGACTGGCTGGGTCGATGTCGTCCAGGTTCTCCTCGCTATCGCCATCACGACTCTAACTGGAGACGATTTCTTCACCATTTTCCGCAGGCAGCAGCTAGCGCAGAAATTTCGCCATCCCTGAGTGAAGGAGATGGAATCCGTTCGACCAGCTCAAAAACTATTCGTTGTGACTAGAGGAGTAGCAGGGAATATTCTACCGGAAGCCCTTTGACTTCCCTGACTGCTGAAACCCTTCCTGCCATGACTGCTACTTCTTCAAACAAGCGAGATTCTCTTTGTTCCACTTCACTGCACTCGAGCGTCCACGCGACACAACCTTTTTACAAAACATCATTTTTCTCAAAAAAATGATTTTCACCCTAAGCCTGGTTTTCGCAGAAGTTGGGCCATATTGCTATGGCAGATCACTCCTATATCCGGTTTATTTTGAGTGGAAAAGATACCTTTGCTTTCGAATTTTGAAGCTGATGACATTATAACCGGTATTATTATTATAACCGCCAACCCTTTAGCCGATCTCTGCCTGCACTATGAAGCGCACCTATCCACACACACACGCACACACCATCATGCCCACCGATGTTCTACTCTAGCAAGTTATGAGACCAATCAACTGGTACAGTCTAGAAAAGTTGTCTTAAAGGCAACTCCTACCTTCGGTAGTACGTTTCCATGGCACTTGACTGGCGGTGTCTTGGTAGCGTCTGGACTGTTTGCTTCTGCAAACAAATAAAACGAGCAAGCACACATGAAGAGAAACAGAAAGATGGTTCTACTCGTTTCTGTGTTGATTATCTCAGGACAGATCATCTACATGTATCCTGTAATATACCAGTTTTTGATGAAGTTTATTTGGCCCGTATTGCACATGTTCAGGATAAAAAAGAATCCATTGATGAAAATGTGTGGATTACACAGGTTGGCAGTGACAAATAAGCACTTGCGCATACGAAGGTTAAAGAACTTGGAACTCTCCTTGCTTGTGAGTGCGTGATTGTTATGTTTTTAACTTCCCGGGTAGGACCTTCGCCGCTGCTTCACTAGGACTTCAAAACCTCCAAAATCGAAGTACTTTTGTCAAAAACAACTCAAGCTGAAGATGCCTGTATATGAGGCGCCCGGATAAGACACATTTGAGTGTACACGCTTACTGAGCAAGTACATAGTAACCTTGGCATGGGATATGTGCTTCACAGCATGCGGCTATTCCATGCATTTGATTTCAAGACGTATATGATGGAGCTGCGACTAATTTGTCCTCACTGAACACCCGGCAGGACCGCCAGACGCCGGTTTTGATTGTGGCCTTTCATACAGTTTGTGTATCGATATGGTGGATACACATGCCATGCCCTCCACAGTAGTAAACACATGTTGGTGGTCAAAAAGTTGGTCTGGCGATAACCTGACCAACCGGACCAGGCCTGCCCGGTGCGGCCGCCGTGGCACACTCTTCAAGGAAGCCGGTGCTGCAACATCAGACCGTCACCATGGCGTTTCCTTCTCCAATGACTAGCCCATCTGGCTCAGCTGAATCTCGCTTGTACGCACTACATCACCAAAATAATCGTATCCAAAAGTCTGAAGAAAACCTGGCCGTCACCACCGGGACTTGAAAAGGAATCGGACAGCGAAGCTCTAAACACCAAGCCATGGTCCAATCGGCATCCAAGTGCAGACCGTCCAAAAGTCTTTTCTTCAGACTCCGTATGACTACAGTACTGTGGGTCGCCGAAGAGCTGGGGGGTCAGCCTCCTAGCCTACATTATAGACCGTTTCATGTATTACAGTCTATGTACAGTTGAGTGACTGTGTATACCTTGGTACGCTGTGCTTGGTGAAATTCTAGCTGGGTCGTTCTTCGGCGCCCGACAGTACTGTAAGTCAACAAACACTACAGTCCATTTCAAAACTATAGACGCGTACCTAGGCAAAAACCGTTATGCCAGCATATATACCACATAAAATCTGTGATCACTTTGTGCATAAATTTTTCCTAATCGGGCGTCTGTTATCCAATCGTTAAGAAACTATTTGAGAGTAATTGTGGAGCGGACCTGAGCAATATTCCGAAAACTATTCTCAAAACGTTCCAGCCAAATTTGAAATATTTCAAAAACACTACGCGTCTATAGTTTTGAAATGGACTGTAGACTCGTTTTCGTCTGCATGCCTACATTGTACATGATGATGTCACACCATAACATGTCCTCTCTCTGCCTTGGTAGACATTGTCATTTCCTGAAGAAGGACATAGCCCTAAACGTTAGAAGAAGAGTCTACAAAGGACGAAACAGTTCTGTCCGCAGATTGAGAAATTAGAATCCTAGATAATTATTGCCGAAGACTGCTTGTGTTGTGCCGAGAAAGGAAATGAGTCATCAACTCTCAACGAGAGAGCTTGGAAGCTCAGGGCCCTACGCTATGCTTTTTTGCCTTGATGACCTAGGCAAAAAAAAGCATAGGGATGTTTTCTTTAAAAAAATACTTTTTTTTAAAACCTGGGATTCGAACCCGCACTATCGCGCGCCCTGCATGCAGCCCCCGATGCACTTCGCATACATACTAATTCTTCCAAGTTGTTTCACATTGTGATCTTGCATTTGAAAGCCCTATTTGAATATGCATTGTGGCCAGCCGTCTTTGATGGCACGGTACGGTAGGGGATAGGTACGGGACAGGTACGATCGAGGGTAATACGACACCGTCTAGCTGCCCGCAATATTCAAATAGGGCTTTCAAACGCAAGATAATAACGTGAAGCAACTTGGAAGAATGGGTATGAATGCGAAGTGTATGGGGGAATGCATGTAGGGCGATAGTGCGGGTTCGAATCCCAGGATATGCCTGAAAAAAAAATAGGAGAATTGAAAAATTTATAACATCCTATGCTTTTTGCCGTCAGATACGGATAGCGCCAGGCGTGACACAAACAAACAAACAAACACACAAACAAACAAATACCAAACGAGAGAGCTTGTAAGCTCAGGGCCCTGCGCTATGCTTTGTTGCCTAGCTCATGGTGCATGTTGTTAGAACTGATGGAAATGCTTTTTCCTTTGATTAGCTACATCATTGTATTGCAAAAAACGTTTCAATGAGATACTGAAGTAACGTCTTCTGCATAGCTATGGGACCGGCGCTGACTCTGCCGATCACGGGCGTTCTGGAGTCGACGGGATGTCTGTCCTGACGTTTCCTGGGACCGGTGCTGACTCTGCCGATCACGGGCGTTCTTCTTATTCTTATTATTATTATACTGACGGCAACTAACATCCATTCTGATTGCATTTACTCGTCTCCCTACTTCGTATTTCTTTCCAGAAAATCTCCCCATACAGCAGGGAGTCGTTTACATAATAATTATGACTCCCTGCTATACATCTACATGACTGTATATACGTTATAATTATTATGCTATCGGCCTACATGCGATTCCCGGGCTGGTCGACAGGCGGCCCAGCCAGCCTGCTAGTGGGATCTCGGCCTCGCACACAAATCCACACAAAATGTTACTGCACTGAATGCATTCCCCCGATACACTTCGCATATATACTCATTCTCTTGATGGTACCGTACTCTTGATGGTACGGGACAGGTACGGGATAGCGCCAGGCATGTCGATGGCACAAACCAGGGAGTAGTACAATACCGGTATTGTACTACTCCCTGGCACAAACAAACAAAAATATTGTGGCCAGCTGTCTTTGTTGGTACGCTACAGTACGGGACAGATACGGGATAGCGCCAGGCGTGACACAAACAAACAAACAAACAAACAAACACCAAACGAGAGAGCTTGGAAGCTCAGGGCCCTGCGCTATGCTTTGTTGCCTAGCTCATCGTGCATGTTGTTAGAACTGATGGAAATGCTTTTTCCTTTGACTAGCTACATCATTGTACTGCAAAAACGTTTCAATGAGTTACTGAAGTAACGTCTTCTGCATAGCTATGGGACCGACGCTGACTCTTCCGATCACGGGCGTTCTGGAGTCGACGGGATGTCTGTCCTGACGTTCCCTGGGACCAGCGCTGACTCTGCCCATCACGGGCGTTCTTCTTATTCTTATTATACTGACGGCAACTAACATCCATTCTGATTGCATTTACTCGTCTCCCTACTTCGTATTTCTTTCCAGAAAATCTCCCCATACAGCAGGGAGTCGTTTACATAATATGACTCCCTGCTATACATCTACATGACTGTATATACGGTAAAATTATTATGCTATCGGCCTACATGCGATTCCCGGGCTGGTCGACAGGCGGCCCAGCCAGCCTGTTAGTGGGATCTCGGCCTCGCACACAAATCCACACAAAATGTTACTGCACTGAATGCATTCCCCCGATACACTTCGCATATATACTCATTCTCTTGATGGTACCGTACTCTTGATAGTACGGGACAGGTACGGGATAGCGTCAGGTATGTCGATGGCACAAACAAACAAAAATATTGTGACCAGCTGTCTATGCTGGTACGGTACGGTACGGGACAGATACGGGATAGCAAAAGGCGTGACACAAACAAACAAACAAACAAACACCAAATTAAAGCTGTGTGGACCCTGGCTAGCGCCAGACGTTACTGAAGTAACGTCTTCTGCATAGCTACGGGAATTAAAGCTGTGTGGACCCTGGCTAGCGCCAGACGTTACTGAAGTAACGTCTTCTGCATAGCTACGGGAATTAAAGCTGTGTGGACCCTGGCTAGCGCCAGACGTTACTGAAGTAACGTCTTCTGCATAGCTACGGGAATTAAATTTCAAATTATTATGAACAAACGGCGAGGAGACAACAATTTGATAACCGCAATCAGTAATACTGCTCGAGCTGGATCGACATTTGTGTACACTTTATTCATGTAATGTAAAACTGTGGAGACAATGCGTATTATGCTGCAAAATAACTTTTACCTGATAGAGATGAGCATAGATGCTGAGAAGAGTATCACGACTTACACTGTGCAGGAAGAAATCAGAACAAAATATCTAAAAAAATTATCACTCCTTGTAATATTCATGAGTTCAAGGGATTCCTATTCTAAACAATTGATTGAAATCACATTACGGTATTACCGGTATTTCATGAATAGTAGTAGAAGAGAAGACGACAATCCTACCTCGGATAGTTCAACATGATTTCTTGCAATATACTGTCTCTGGATTCAGTCAAGCGCATCGCTGACACGATTTCCAAATACACCTGGCGTTTCATTACAAAATTGAATACTGCACTGCTATTCGTACTTCAATGGAGATCGTATTGCGAGCAATTCTATAATCGTGTACCGGTAAGTCACATTCTCTAAGGGGCAGTTGAAGCCATCTCATTCTTCAACAGCCGCCTGTGCACACGCAGTTTTGTTTCATAATAATACCGTAATAGATAGTAGATACAGAACTACAATACAACTCGACGCAAGGAGTTTTTGGCCAGAGGCAGCTAGCTGCATGCACTGATTTTGATTTGAAATCGCCGCTAGCTCTAGCTCGACATGCTGCATTTAGAAAAGCGATCCTGTCAGCTTTTCTATTATTGTGTTCACATGGCAGAAAAAACGACACCGCTATGCTACGTAAGTTTCTACGTAAGGTGCTCGGTACTTCACTTAGGCTACGTAAGTTTCTACGTAAGGTGCTCGGTATTAGATCTACCAACGGGTGGTAGCCGCGTGCTGTGCACGTGCACGGCAGACATTGTGTTGCATGCCGTGCAGTCCGTTTTCGGATGTGCATGCGCGAGGAACTTCCTTCTTTGGAACTGCTTCTTGCATGAGCTGTTTCGGATATTTCGTGTCCTGGCTTATTTCGCTTCGGCTCTGCTGAGACCTCTTTTCACGGAATATTACTCAATGACAGGTGAGTTGACCAGTTCCCTTTGATTCATTAATTTTGCTTGTGTTGACTCTTTCATTTCTTTCGTCGAAAAGTGTGCTGATTTTAGGTGGAATACAATAAAATAATAATGGAAAAGCTGACAGGATCTCTTTTCTAAATTTAGCTTTTCTGCTGTCGAGGCTTCCTTTTACGGAATACTCAATGACAGGTGATCTCTGAGTTGACCAGTTTCCTTCGATTCATTTGCTTATGCTCACCCTTTCATTTACGGAAACGTGTGCTGATTTTATTCGGATTTAATAGATCCATTCGTATCTCTTTGCCCTTGCCAACAGTGTGCGAAGAACGCGAGTTCACCTTCTTGACGGTAAGGCTTAGATGTGTTGTCGAAATACTCATGTTCATTGTACATTGGTACGTTACAAGTAAGGCACTGGTCATGATTGCTTCCGGCATTCCGTGCTCCGATCATGGGGTAGAATCTGAATTTTGCAGTTATTATTATTATTATTATTATTTTATTTATTTTACTAGGGTGTTTCCAGTGGCATAGCATCGTTGGCAGTTCCCAATCTGGAGGCGAAGGTTCAAGGACGCATTGACCGACTACTAGTATGCAAAATAAATTCGCATATCAGGGAAAATCTCCATTATGGAGAGGTTCATGCATTCAGTGACTTGTTTGCTTCATACGAAACAAGCCAATGGGTGCAGTCTCGTGAAAATCTCGTACGATTGGATTTGTTTACTGGAGTCTGGGCTGTTTGATTTGTGAGTACCGCCGAGATTGCACTGCCCCAAGTAAAGTTGCGTGCCGGTAGAGCAAGAATTACGATCTGCAATCTGTTTGTTGTACCTGCAAGAATGTGCTGTACATGTATCGTATTTTCTCTGTTGTTGTTTCAGTTGCCGTCATGTTGCCAAAGAAAGGTTCAGTGACTCATTTGTTTCATAAAAGACGAGTCAATGGTTTGGTCTGGCTTAGAATCTTTCGCTGTAGAAGAAATCTATTCGTGTCTCTATTGCAGTATTGGAGAAATAATTGTATTCACTCGTTATAAAAATAGGGTTAAGACAAACTCACAGAGCAAATGCCATCGGTCCCTTGATGTTCGTCCTAAAGAGGTTTGACTGGATATCATTCATACTCCCCCAAAGTCGTGTAACATGTTATTATTATGGAGTGCCTTGTTTATCTCTCAGTACCTCCAACCATATATCCTTGCCCCTTATATCCTCGGGATCAGTGTAGTTGTTGGAACGAGGTGTCGGACTCAGCAATGTATTTGTTAACATTTTAATACATGTTTATTGTTCCTACTTTGCTGTGTTGTTTTAGATAATCGTGGACTTGTAACACTTTGAAATCATTGAACTGCTTCCAAAAGTTTTACCGACATCAACAGGATTACGATTTCATTACAATATGATGCCGGATGACCTTATCACGACAACCCATGACTACAATTATAAACACAGAATCAACAAAAACATCTGCGGCGCGCACCTGGTTACAATTCTCATGTAAATGTGATTTAGGGGAATTAGGGTGTGGACATCTGAATTTTCTGAAAGACAAGACAATTTTATGAGTCATGATGAGTCATGAAATTCTGCAACATCCACAGAATGACCTGCGTATAAAAAAAAGTATCACCGCCACTACTCATATGATTCCCCTGCAGAAGAACATGAATACATGTATGCAAGACTAGTTCCATTTTCTGCAAGAAAAGGCTTGCACATCAATGCGTATAATACGGTATTGAAATTGATATGATACACGTACATGTACATAGCCATAGGGGCTCCCGTAAGAAGACCATAGCTCTGTGCGAAACACCCTAGTAAAATAAAATAATAATAATAACATGTAGAGTCGCTACATGTAGGCCATCATTTAGGGCATTCCATTGATGACACAATTATAGGTTCTGATCGGTGGAATATGCTGCCTTCCACTGTTCGCTCTTGTACAGATTATCGCCCATTTGTTTGTTCATGCTTAACCTTTCTAGGGGCTCCCGTAAGAAGACCATAGGTCTGTGGGAAACACCCTAGTAAAATAAATAAAATAAAAATAATACCGGTAATATCCTTTAGCCAAAAAACAAAAGAAATTATAGCAATAAAAACTGCTTTATGGCAGTTTTCTAAAAAAAGTTATTGTGTTCTAGTCCATGGACCCCGTCTAAAAAGTAAGAAATTAACGAAATGTGATAGCCGAAAATTAAAATTTCACACAAAACCTCACAATAATCACACACGCGACAACCTTTTCCCCTCGTGGTCCTCTTTCACATGCAAGCATGTTGGCGCAGTACATGTACTTGTACAAGTACAAGTGTCGGAATAAACAAGTGTTGAAAGCCGTACTATTAGATCTTCAAGTGTCGTGATTATTGTGAGGTTTTGTGTGAAATTTTAATTTTCGGCTATCACATTTCGTTAATTTCTTACTTTTTAGACGGGGTCCATGGACTAGAACACAATAACTTTTTTTAGAAAACTGCCATAAAGCAGTTTTTATTGCTATAATATTATAAGATCTCACATGCTCAGGCAGCGGGCCGGGTGGTGCGGCCCCGTGCGGGCCCTAGCGCCCTGCGGGGGCCGGGTACGGGTAGCGACTAGCGCAAAGAGTCGTAAAATTTTAATACGACTCCCTGGTTTATAATTATTTAGCGCGGAGCGTTTCACGCGATGTCATGGCAACAAAAATGAAAAAAACGAAAATGGCGGGTGGCTGGCTCCGCTCGATCGTTCGAGCCTGGCCTGTGAGGAGAAGACTGTACTGCGCGTGCGTTCAGCAGAAGAAAATCGTCAAAGCTGTTCCTCCTCACTTTCTTTCTTGGATATAGCACTCTTTACTTGCTTTGCCAGTTTCAACAATGGGGGACGAATCAACCGGTCTCGCTGTATTTGTGGGCAACTTGCCTTACCGTCTGGAAGAGCAAGATCTGGAAGACTTTTTCCATGGCTCCGACGTACGTTGCTGAGTGTTGTTTTGGAATTTCCAACGGAAGAGAGTTTTTGACCACCATTTTTTCTACTTTACTTTTCCCTTTGTCTTTCCCTCAGGTGAAGAACATTCGAATTATCCGTGACCGGGAAACGGGAAGAGCAAGAGGTTGGTTTTTAATTTTTAATTTCTACGTTTGCCTTTGTAACTCTATTCAGTCCACATCCGTCATCGTCTTTTTGACATGCTTTTATCTCCTAAAAGAACCCGCTATTTTTAATTTACTCCGAAAGAACGTGAGGTGAAAGTCTGGTTGAATAACAATTATAATACCCGACCTCACATATTCCTGACATTGAACTACTCTTGGTAGCTGTGAGTGTCGCACATCCTGTTTGTAGACTTGTCGCACAACCTGTTACGTAACTTACCTGCCTTTTTACGCAAGGAAAGCTGTACTATGACAACAGCGAGGTTGTTCTCCATTTTTTTCTAATTGTGGAGCATTCTTTCTGTTTAGACCAGTGGTGTGAGGTATTGCTAATTGTTCTGAATTATTGTTTTGCCTGCTTAGGTTTCGGATTCGTCGAATTTCATGACCAGCGCTCTCTGGACAATGCCTTGGAGAAGGATGGCAAAGTAAGAATCCGGCAATTTCAGGTTTGACCTTTCGAGCATTTTTGTTTTTAAAGTTGAATCCTTTTGCTATTGCAGCCCACAAATCAGTATTTTTTTCGTTTTAGCTTTCAAATCCTAATGTGCTGGTGCAATCATGTGTGCATTCTTGTGGTCCAGAATCTGATGGACCGCCCCATTCAGGTTCAGAAGTCCCGTCCCAGCCAAGGTGGCTCTCGCGGTGGTGGTGGTGGCGGTGGCTACGGCGGCGGTGGTGGCTACGGCGGTGGCCGCTCTCGTGACGGCGGCGGACGCTCCGGCGGCGGTGGCTACAGCAGCGGTGGCGGCGGCGGATATGGTGGCGGTGGACGCTCCGGTGGTGGCGGCGGTGGCTACAGCAGCGGTGGTGGCGGCGGACGCTCCGGCGGCGGTGGCTACAGCAGCGGTGGCGGCGGCGGCGGATATGGTGGCGGTGGACGCTCCGGCGGCGGCGGCGGTTACAGCAGCGGTGGCGGCGGTAAGGACAATATCCAAAATGAGCTTGGCTTGCTTGGGGGGGGGGGGGGGGGGGGGGCTGCTGGTCATGTGGTTCGATGTCAGATTTAGATGACTGTGAATGCCTTTTGTATGGTATAGTGCGTCATCGGAATGCTAAAATGCGATTCGTTTTATTCTTTGCCCCTGTTTAATACAACTGACACACTTTGGATAATTGAACCTGTCTGAGCTTCCGTTGTGAACTTTGTGCATGCTTTCAAGTCAGCTGTGTTAAAACATTCCTGTGGTGCAGCTTGCATGCATATTCACAACAAGCTTGATGCCACAAAGTCCTCAAATTTTCCACCAAATAAAAAGCATAGAATTGTCAATGGTCAGTTGTGCCGAAACCGAAAGACATGCCTGTAGTCGCGGAGACTTTTTATATTGAACGGCATTGTTGTGCATGTAGTTTTGTGTATTTAATCTTCTTCAGTCCAGTCATTACTGCTAAGCATGTGTGTGTGGTGCGGATTTAGTTTTCTTTTCAGCAGACATACTTATAGGTTTTGGTCTTTGTTACTGTGTAGGTTATGACCGTGATGGTGGCCGGGATAGAAGAGATGATGGATATAGGGGTAGTTATGGTAGGCATTCTTTCTCCTGTCTTGTCTGTTCATTGGTGATTTCTGCCAGCTGCTGTCGCATGTGATCGCTCCATGTGCCATGCTTGAATGCTGACATAAGTCTGTATGGTGTCCATGTGGTTTGGTGACATTGTGCTTTGTGCATTGGCCTTTTCTGTTTGTTTCATAGGTGGCCGATCAGGTGGTGGTGGCGGTGGCCGCTATTAGGCACTCCTGTGTACTGGTGCACTCACAGCAGCTGCTGGTAAGATTTCATGTATCCATATTAGTTGAGTTTCGTAGTTTGAATGTATCCCGGGTTTTTTTTTCGAGTGGGAAATGTATTTATTTGTATCCCCTGCATGGTCTAGCGCTCCAGGCGGATACTTTCTGGTCAGACGGGAGCATTTCCACCTTGATTTTAAAACAGTTCGAAGCGGCCGCGTACCTTGCATACTGTGTTCAACCTACCCATGAATTACAACGTGAAATCTTTGCATCTGTCGGAACCGAGGAAAGGATCTGGTGAGCACTGGTAGTTGCTGTTCAAGTCGCTATTGGTTCGTGTCATTGTTAGCGTGCATCTCGAGTGATTCTCTGCGCCATGAAATACCGGAGGCTAGTGACGAGGAGTTAAATAGTTATGTTACCAGGTCGAAAATATGCTGTGCCTCTTTCACATGTGAGTTGTCCTAAGTGAACCTCCTACTACCCTCTATGGCACTGATGGCTACACACTCGGCACCATCAGCACTGCTACGTCACTGCAAGATAGACCCTGTGTTCTCACCTAGCTGCATCACCCGGATCATTCAGGGATGCAGTTGCTACCATTGTTCAGTGGTCCATTTGCGTAAGTTCCCCGGCGTGCAGCCCATGTGTCCGTTCTGTCTGCCGGCCCCCTCGTTATTGCCGCGTTGTGTGCCACCACAGCCATCATAAGAACTAGTTCTTCGTCGAGAAGCAAGCTCTGACCTCAGAACTTTGCCCTCGTCAAGAGTGCCATCCCATGTCAGTTTTGTTCATATTCGTTCCCATGCCGCTTACGAGAGACTTTCTGTACATAGCCCGTGGTCATGCCTGTGCAGCTTCTTTGTATAACATTCTGCTTGTGTTCTAAACATCGGGCGGGTACCTGTTCCTTATTGAACAAGTAATAGCTTCAATCCTGGTTTCATCCTGCTGTGATGATGCAGTGCTGTAAAAAATATTGTATCTCACCCTGGCCTTCAACCACGTGGCTCTTGTAGTTTTGCTGTGGTGAGGTCCTGCACTAAACCTGTGCCACTTCTGGGCATGGAAAAATGCTCTCGAGTAGCATTTGTCTTCCGTTGAATAATGCCAGTGTCTGGTGTCAGATCGTCCTGGCATTGAAATATGCTCCTTTTCCTATGTAGTGTTTTGGGGTGAACCATCACCAAATCGACTTTTGAATGCTGTTTCTCGTGATGAAACTACAGTGGTGACAACTGAAATCCAACCCGAGCTCGGTGAGCTCACATTGCGAAAGCCGCCGCTCGCGCTCGTACAATATCAAATTAAGACTGCTAGACTCGGTACTGCACTCAAGCACGACAATCAGGGGTCGGATTTCAGTTGCCACCACTGTACCAAATGACTATAGGGTGCTTTCAAATATTCCAACTTCTTGGTGAAACCAGTCCAGCCTTTGGCCGAGTCTCACGGGAACCCTGAAATAAAAAAAAAAAATTGGTGAAATGTATCCTGAAAGTTACGGAAACTGTAATACAGTGCCGAGATCTTGAGTAACTCGTATGTAGTACAATGTACCCGTAAGTGAGAAAGACAAGCTGTGCGTCCTGTGCTCATGATAATTATTGATTAACACGTGGCGTTTCGCTCTAGTTCGCATGCCCAGGCCACACAAATGTGGATCTCAACCACCTTTGGTGAATCTCCAAACTTCAGAGAGTTTATTAGAATACTCTTCCAACTTGTCTTATCCAACAGGATAAAGGAATGCGCCCGTAGACGTGTAACTTAGAGCTTCTTTTTCATGTATAGCATCTTTGTTGAAAAACTTCCAGCTGAGTGATACTAAGGAATGTATACTTCCCTCGGAATTTTATCGCTGACTCAAAAGCGGGGGTTTCCGAGTCCATGTGAATGCTGTCGCTGACTGTTTCTTCGGTCTTCTTTTTTTGTCATTGTGTTCAGGTGGCAGATGATGGTGGTGCAGTGTGGAGCTATCAGTTTCATGGGATTGGACATCCATCCATTATCAAGGAATTGGTGCCATATGACCAAGATGGGTTATGGGGAGGGGTCGCAGGGGCTTCTTATCATTCTTGTTGTTCGGGTCTGAGTTTACTGGGCTTTCTTGTGGCATGATGTGAATATTGGTTTGGGAGCTGTGGATCAAACTAAAGTGATAGCAGTTGTGTATCCGGAGCAGGCTTTTGTGGGATTTTGGTAGCTGTGCCGGTCTTCATTGGTCAGGTTTGGGTGCACGTAGGTTTTGTGGGCAAGGATCGTTCTGGATAATTTTGTCGCGGTTTGTAGTTATCCGATCTTTGGGAATGCTTTTACAGACCCGGGCGCATGCAGTTTGAGCGTGCTGTCTTTTCTTCTGCCTCTGTAGCTTTGTGTGGCTACAGCTTGAGTTCCTTTGGGGTTTCTAGGGCAAATGACCAAACAAAATTTCGTTGATCTGAGACTAGCATGATGCCTTTTTGTCACACTCTACTCCCTGCAGCTTGAATGGAGTTCGCAAGTGTCATCCTTTACCGGCGGAGCAGTCTTTTTTACTTCTTGGTCGTGTGCCTGTGCAGTCTGGCTACATTCCTTTGGGACAACTTTTCTTATTCTTCCTCTGTGATTACCAACGTATACTCTGTACTTTCGTATACCTTTGCCAGTACGGCGTATGGCTGGAGTCCCTTGCCCTGACCCACCTCTGGTTTTTTGAGATTCCCAGCTGTGTGTTTGTTAGAACATTGCATCATCAGCGCATTGCTACCACTGTAGTTTTGTAGGCGATTTCTCTTCTCATGCAACTTGAATCATTCTGATTTATCTCGCCTGGTGCAATTACAGCATGTCCGATGTAGGACAGACTTGTCTGAGTCATGATTACAGTTGGGGTATGATGGCTGAATCTTGCTCTAGGCGCTACTATTGTGGGCCCCAGTGTGGCGTTCAAGGGAAAGATACAGCCGTGACTTTTGAAGGTCGTGCTTTATAAATTCGTTTATTACATGTATTCAAAAGCTGAAACTGTTGCCTTCCCAAACACCACTACCATTTCCTTGCATATTACCGTCAGTGCGTGTTACAGTAGAGTTGCTTCCAAGAACGTTGTTCCAAGGAACGTTCTTATTTTGTTAAGAAATTTGATTGCGTTCTGATCCTTGAGCACTTTCTTAGAAACAATTTGTGGTAGGATGTAAGGTCCTCCGACACAGCACACACACACACACACACACACAGCAAGGTCAAGTCTTTATATAATTATAGTTATGATCCATTAATCTTACGCGTTTCTGCCTGTAAGGCTTCGTCAGAGACAAGGATGAAATAATATGAATAAAGACTAGTACTAGTAGTAGTTATATAGGGCTTGATTCAGATGGGTGCTTGGGGCGTTGGGCGGTAAATGCGCTATCAAGCAAGTTTAAAGGCGCAATAACTTGAGTTGCAGACAAGTGTAACAAATGTCAAAAAAGTTGTACAAGTTGAACTAATGTACTAAACCGTAAGACTGGGGGTCAAAATATGCGGTCATAGTACCAGAATGTTTGTACAGAGTCAAGATCATGCAGAATCAAAAGAGAGCGGGAAAAAATGGGCGGGAAAGTTTAGGTGGGCTCAACGTTCTTCGGTGTGCGACTCTGCTGTACTGTAATTTGTCCCTTTGAAAAGACGCGGACAAGCTGCGCCGAAAAGTGACATTTCCTGCAGTATGATCAATATCCTGCGGCACTTTCTGCAAGTACTACAATTAATAATGTCTACTAGACTAGTACATGTCAGTCATGTAGTTTCCACCCTACTTCTGCATGCAGTCCATTCATGAAAAGATTGGCCCTGGCTATGACGGGCTACATGTACCGTATTTTGCGATTTTTCGTGATTTTATCGGACATGCCCATTTGTTCGTTCATGCTTAAGGTGGCTCACGCCTATTTCAAAAAAATTAACGATTGATCTGAAAATTTGGTGGGCGGTTGGTCTTAGGTAGTGTATGCAAATGGCGAGTTAAAAAAACGGGGTCTCAATGCTAACTTTTGAGATATAGGCGATGACAATTTCACTAAATTGTCAAATTTGTACAGGATTTGTGATGTATAGCGGACGGGTATTTCATCAAGAACCTGATTTACAATCTTCCTCATTTTTTGGTTATTGAATGGACTAACTGTGTACATGCCAATGAGAAAATAAAAAACATATGCTTCAATGCTCAATTTCGCCATATAGGCGCAGAATGCCTTTTTGATAAGTTTGCTTTGCTAAATGTACATGCACACCTACATATCCCATGTACATGTCCATATACATCTACCCTTCTCTACTAGCCCACCCTAACCCTGCAATACACATTGACACAAGTGTACACACACATACCACACACAAACACACACACACACACACGCATACATGCAAACACACACACGCATACATGCAAACACACACACACACCTGTCCTGTCGAGCCACTACCACTAGGGTCACGTGGGCCCCGGAAGGGCAGCAGAGAGAGAGAAAGAGCACGCCACCCGGTGGCGCTCCAGACACGCACACACACGCACACACACACACACACACACACACACACACACACACACACACACACACACACACACACACACACACACACACCTTTGGACCTTTGGAAAGCCCATCGCCGAAGGTGATGATAGCTATTAGGCGAGGCAGAACACACACACACACACACACACACACACACACACACACACACACACACACACACACACACACACACACACTACTACTACTACTACTACTGCTACTGTAGCATGGTTGCCCAAGGGCCACACCATTCCGAAAGAAGCCGGAGTCATTGTCAGGAGCAGAAATGGAGATGACGACTCAGGTCACTCTGTCTACGGAACTGACGGCTGCAGCGAGAACAGCGGACACAATATGACGCTCTGTCAGACTTGGTTGCCCGATGGCCACGGTCGCACATGTGACGTCTGAAACCAGGCACTGACTTGAATTGCCGATTGCATGTCAAACACAAGAGAGAAGCATGGACGCTGAGCGGAATAGATGATGCCGGCTCGGACACTTTCGATGGTTCCAGGGGCAAACAATGATGCACGCGCAGACCACCACGAGAGTGAAACCACCTTCTGCATGTACCACACTGCACAGCACCACGCTGATCCTGGATGGGGAGACTTTGCTCTGCGCCACATTTGTGCCTTGTTTGTCACCTGGCTGGCGAAACGACCGATGGCAGATAAGACAGTCCACCCGCCAGGCAGACATATCCTGAGCAACCTCATACCAGGCCAGACACACACACGCACCACACACACGCACAAACGTGCGTGTAAACAGTGACTAAACACACACACACACACACACAAGGCACACACATGATCGCACGCCTGCAGACCATCGCTCCAATGAAGATAAGATTACTACTTCTTTGCGTAAATATGTTTGAGATAGAGTGTCACTCTTAGATGTGACTGATGCCATCAACCAATGTCAAGGAAAAAAAATTCACGGTTCGGTTCGCGTCAGACTCGGCTAGAGGCCGAGTTTTCCTCATCCGTAGGAACGCCATCATCCTTCAAGGATCAAGGCGCAGATGCAAGGAAAGAATGTGTTCAATCTTCTTCTGCACACGTAGAAATTGGTTTGGGCATTTTCGATGATTTAGAATGTGAATATGACAATGTGACAGAGGCAGCCACAATTTACTGATTACTGTGCATTGATCTAGCTATATACACTGCAAGTGCACTGTAAATATTGTGTTACATGCACGTAGTTGTGAAGGGAGACAGTATACATGTACATTCACCAATGACACACCTGTCAGACAGCAGGTTAGGGCTAGTCAAAGTTATGAAGGCACAATATGCGATACGAAGGCACAATTTTGCGATGTACTTGAGTTTGTGAATATAAAGTGGACTTTGTGTTCAAACATACTCTACCAAATTGCCATGCACACCCTTGTAACACACACACACACACACACACACACACACACTTGAGCCTGGGGAGCATGATTGCTGTCAGCCAGTGTTGCTTTCAAATGCTTATTCTCGTCAGGAGTGATGTGAAACACATACTGGTAAATATCAATCTCTAAAAAATGCATCCTAAATAAAACGCTCAAGCACTGAGTCTAGTCAGAGTGATAAGACAATAAATTGAAGGAATTTCTCAACAAAAACTCAGTGTACCGCTGTGATCAAGCCGTGGCAATAACTATAGTAGAGTTCTTGGTGGACAGCGATTACCATAAAGAAATAGTGAGATACTACAGTAGTACCCTCTACTGACACAATGCAACCACGTTGTCCAGTACATGTTCGAATCAAAAATACTTTCGTACATTCGTGACCATTTCAATTTATATTCAAGGGCGACCTCCACAATCCACTGGCTTCAGAGTCGATTTATCATTATAGAACGGCCATTCTTGACAAAATAGTCAGACAAATTTTGCGAAGGATGGCGTTCTACTGTGGAAGGGACTCGCCAAGTCACTTGAGCCAATTCAACGAAAATACAAAATACTCAGGTTTTACACATTCACGTACCCGTCTGTGCCGTCCCCCATTCCTTCCAAGACATCCACATAGACTCCAACGCTTTTATTCTACTCTTTTTCCGAAGCCGACCATGGGCATGGGCAGTGCCTGCTGGAAGGGACATCCCAACACTTCTCTGACAGGTGACAATTTCCACAAGTAAAAAATGCACCTCAAAAAAAGTAGCCAAGTGAAGGAGTGAAAAAAAAAGAAGAAAAAAGCTCACACTCTAGACTCGAGTACGAGAGTTTCGTACTCAGGCCATCTGCTCGAGCTGGACCCTTCGAAACTGGAGTGCGCTACAAGCTCGCTACGCCAACTCCGCATGTCTTTTCTCGAACGTAGGATGCGCGAGAACCTGCGCAAAAGACGAGTTTAGAAATAGGCGCGAGCCACCTTAAGGTGGCAGTCTGGGTTCGCGGCCCGACCGCATGAACACAGCCGTAACTTCCATAATAATTGATGAATTTTGCTCAAATCTTGACCACATACCCAGTGTATTTCACTAAGTCCAATGAAGTATAAATCAAGCTCACACATGGGAATCCGCAGACACAATAGTCAAATCTGCGATTATGCCGTACCACCAATACCTTAGACGCAATATGCAAACGCAGAAAGAAGCTGGGTAGAAACTGAGTGCTCCACAGGATTTCCTTCACATATACCTAGGTGCTAAGTGGAGCGGAATTTTGAAATCATATTCAGAACAAAGTACTCAAGCTGTCAAACAAAAATCATGCAATCGCGCAAAATTTAGGTCCTCGATCAGTAGCACTTTACTCAAAGCTACTAGACAAATATAAAAATCCATGACACTTAGCACCTTGATAAATGCTCACAGTTTCCAAAAATGTATGGTTTATGGGGTCTGTGACTTACAGGTTCTTCGCTACGCTGTCTAAGAGGTACGGGACTCAGTGGAAAATGGAGAAAAAAAGTGCTCTGTGCAAGTACAGATGGAGGTATGTCTGTCCAACTAGAACTTACTAGAACTTAGTCGAAGCCACCAGCTTCATATGTCAAACCTTCTTCCTCTTGCTGCTCATCCTGGATGCCTTTCCTGATCCTCCTTCGCTTCTTTCGTGACCTCTTCCCTTCTTCTGACTTCTTTCTGGCAGCATGTGCCTGTCTCTCACGGTCTAGCAGCTTGATGAGACGTGTCGTATGGTGTCCAGTAGGGAGGCCCATCTCGTCCAGAACGCGTTTCACTGCCACACCTCCATCATTGAACCAGGCCACGGCCAGGTAGACGCACATCTGGACAGTGGGAGCGGATGCAAAGCCTGTCTTTGGACACAACTGCCACACGAGTCCATTGAA